CATGAGGAACTGTATTAAAGGGTCACAGCATTAGGAGAGTCAAGGAATCATGGACTTAAAGGGATAATTATTCCTCCCATTTTATTATATCTACAGGTGGATCTGTTTTCCTCAGGGATGGTCCTGGCCAGGTGATTGTCAGGCCCAATTAGATCCCCCTCCTTTTTTAAAAACTTAATTTTAAGCTCAAGGACTATTTTATTAGTTTGAAAAAACAAATAGAAATCAGGGTAGGCAAGGTGTAAATCTCTGCAGCTACTGGGAGGAAAAAAAAAAACGATGGAGAAGGAAATGGAGTCATCTCTCTTTAAGGGCCAAGGAAGCTGGCAGGCTCTGTGGTGAAGGTTGGCAAGGGGCTTCATGAAAGGGAGGGAGGGGGGCTTCAGAGAAAGAGGGACAGAGCCTAGAGTGTTAGGGCAAGCATGCTTAGGACCGCAGTGGTATTTGAAGAGATAGATGGAAAAGTTATGATATGCTTCCAGTTTGATTAACTCTAAAGGAGGAGACATATAATGTTCTAGTCCTTGGGGCAGAGCAGAATGCAATGTTCTACGCAAGGCAAGAGAGTCTATCTTCTGACCTGGAGAAAGTAGCTTTCCCTAAAAGGGCATCAACGGGGTTCTGATGTTTCTACATTCTCATATGGTATTTTATCTCTTAAAAAGGTTCTCAGTCTGGGGGCTGGAGAGATGGCTCAAAGGTTAAGAGCACTGACTGCTCTTCCAGAGGTCTTGAGTTCAATTCTCAGCAACCACATGGTGGCTGACAACCATCTACAATTCAATCTGGTGTATATGTAATAAATAAATAAATCTTTTTAAAAAAGGTTCTCAGTCTGTCACACACGTCTCTCTCTCTCTCTCTCTCTCTCTCTCTCTCTCTCTCTCTCTCTCTCTCTCTCTCTCTCTCTCTCTCACACACACACACACACACACAGAGTCACGAGTGAGAGCCAGAGGACAATTCGCCAGGAGTCACTCACTCCTTTCACCACGTGAGCCCAGGCACGTTTGCACCCTGAGCCACGTCACCTGCCCTGGTTTTGACTCTAGGAGAGGCAGTTGGGACTCATCTAGGTCTAGTGTTGCCAGGGAAACAGGAGATGGGATCCAAAAGCTGACTATGAGGGAAGGTCCATCTTCAGTGGCTACCTAACAGAAACAGTCTCATCATGTAGCCTAGGCTGACCCAGAGCTCAGGTCCTCTTGCTTTGGTTCTCCAATTGCTGGGGTTACAGGTGCAAGCCATCATGCCCAGGCTTCAGTTTTCCCCCTTTCAGCTGAGGAAGTGGATTAGCTCAAGGAAATTTGTTCGACAAAGTTAGACTGGACTCAGCCCCAAGCCTCTGTCTAGGGTGGCCTTGAAGTTAATATTTGTGTGTGGTTCGGTATAGTGACACATGCTTAGAACCCTGGCACTGGAGAGGCACAGGCTTGAGGAATCACAGGTTTACGGGCAGCAATCTACAAGTGTGTTCTAGGACAGCCAGGGCTGCATAGTGAGACCTTGTCTCACAAACAGGACTGGGGAGCGTGCTCATTTGGTAGTGCTTGCCATGCAAGCTTGAGGACCCGAGTTTGATTCCAACGCTTTAAAAAAAGGTTGTTATGATTTACTTATGTGTATGTGTGGGTGTTTTATCTACATATATGACTGTGTACCAAGTGCACGCCTAGTGCCTGTGGAAGTCAGAAGAGGGCATTGGATCCCTGGAACCAGAGTTAACTACAGCTATCAGCCACCATGTGGGTGCTAGGAACTGAACCCAGGTCATCATCTTTTTTTTTCCAAGACAGGGTTTCTCTGTATTGTTTTGGAGCCTGTCCTGAAACTCAGTCTATAGACCAGGCCGGCTTCAAACTCACAAGAGATCCGCCTGCCTCTGCCTCCCCATTGCTGGGATTAAAGGCGTGCACCACCAAAGCCCAGCAAACCCAGGTCTTCTAAAGGACAACAGGTGCTCTAATCACTGAGCAATCTCTCCAGCCCCATAAGCTCCACTTTCAACATGTTAAGTTTGGTCATCCTAGGTCTTCATGAAGTGTGGAACAGGCACTCAACGCGAAGTTCGGCTAACTCAGGAGCCTCTGCTTGAGGTGGCTCAGAGCCACAGAAGGCTCCAGCGTAAGCTTTGGTGCCAGGATCTAGAACATGAGTAGAGGTGGGAACTCCCAGTCTTTCTCCCCGCAGCCTGGGTATTGGGGTTACACTCATGTGTCATCTTCCCCCAATGCTGTCTTCCCTGGTCCCAGCCACTAGCATTCAGACAGCTACTGTATGAAGTGTCCCCTCCCAGTTATCACTGTCATTCACCAGTTTCCACCCTCACACTGCTTACAAAACCCATCTGAGCTCCTGTTTTGTATTTATTTCTTATTTATTACTATCATTTGTTTGTCTTTTTGATACAGGGAATCTCTGTGTGACCCTGGCTGTCCTGGAACTCACTCTGCAGACCAGGCTGACCTCGAATTCAGAGATCCCCCTGCCTCTGTCTGGAATTAAAAGCATGTGCCACCACGCTGGTTGTATTTGTGTGCTGGGAATTGAACTCAGATCCACTTAAGATATTTCTCCAGTCCCTGCACCTAACAAATGTCTGCTTTATTGTGTGTTTCTGTAGCTGGATACAGTCTGTGAAGTCAAGGACCGGTCTCTCTCATCCCACCCCACATGTGTGTCGTAGGCTTCCTAAGTACGGGGCCTTCCTAATTTTACATTCTTTTCATGTGTATGGGTGCTTTGCCACGTGTATATGCCACACACATATTGTGTGTGAAGTGCCCAGGAAGGGTAGGAGGGGGCATCGGACATGCCGCCCCACAACTGGACTTACAGATAGTGAGCCACCGTGTGGGTGCTGGGAGTCAAACCCAGTTCTCAGGAAGAGCACCAGAGCTCTTAGCCTCAGAGCAATTTCTCCAGCCCCAGCTGGTGCCTTTTGTAGGGCAGGGGCAGGGGCAAGCATCGGATTTATGGAGAATTGTGTACTAGCTGAGTGGTTAAGAATCAGGAAGGGGGGGGGCTGGAGAGATGGCTCAGCGGTTAAGAGCACTGCTTGCTCTTCCAAAGGTCCTGAGTTCAAATTCCAGCAACCACATGGTGGCTTACAACCATTTATAATTAATCTGGTTCCCTCTTCTGGCATGCAGACATACATGCAAACAAAATACTGTGTATGTAATAAAAAAAAAGGATCAGGCCTGGGGATGTAGCTAAGGGGTACAACACGTGCAAAGCATATACGAGGCCTTGGACTTGATAACCACCCATAAAGAAACACGAATTCTCTTCAGCTGGCAATGGTGGTGAATACTAACATAAATGATTTTCAGTCCCTTTCAAAAAGGGAAACAGAAGAAACAACAAGTGCCCAATAGGTGGGACATGCCTATAACAGGGAGGGAGAATAGAGGAAGAAATGGCTTAGTTTTGACTGCTAACTCCCATCTCAACAATCTAGGACTGAGAAGAACTGTTAAAAAAAAACCCATAAGGGGAGCGGTGCTGGAGAGATGACTTAGACACGAGTTCAGTTCCCAGCCCCAGGTCCAAGGGCTCACAACTGTCTCTTCTGCGGCCTCCCACCCATACAAATGTGGCACGCGCGCGCACACACACACACACACACACACACACACACACACACACACACAAAAAATAAATAAACGATCATTGAAAAGTCCTGGATAGGGCTGACAATATCTTGGTGGGTAAAGGTGTCTTGCCCAGTCGGAGCTGAAAACCTGAGTTTGATGCCCCCAGATCTGCAAAGGGAAGGAGAGAACCGACTTCCCAAAGTTGTCCTCTGACTGCACCAGGACCACGCATGTGAACCCACTCAGAATAAATAAAAATACAAAGTCCCTGGAATGCGTCTTTAACTTGTACAGGGCCCTGGGTTGGAAACCCAGCACTAAAAAGTTGGGATCTCTCACATAAACCTGACATGACAGTTCACCTGCAATGCACACCAACATCCCAGAAGCTACAAGTTGAACTACAGCGTTCAAGTATAAAATAAACTGTCCTAATATTTAAAACGAGAGGTTTGTTCCCAAACTTCGGCAGACCTCTTAGGGAATATAAATGCCGAGTGCATTCTCTACAAGAGCACTCTGAGAGGACTACAGGAAACTGAAACACAGCAGGGTCCAAGCCCAGAGAGGCAGGCTTTCCCCAGGCTGATGCTGGGGCTAGAAGGATCGCGCCCCTCACACACACTGCACACTCCCCATCGCCCTAACAAACCGCTTTCCACCCCTCTCCTACCATTAGGCTCCCCACCCTACCCATCTTCTTGGAATAGTCCTTCCTTTCGCCATTCATAGTCCGGCGAATTTCACGCCACGGCCTCTCCCCAAACAAGGAGTTATCTGCTCTGACTTCCCGAAGCAAATGAGGTGGTATAACTAGCAGAAACGGCGTACTAGCTTGTTTTAACCATATTATGAGGTCATAATGGTCCCACAGCCCAGGATGAGGCACACTCAATAAATAGTTGCCTGCACAATTTAAAACGGGTTAGCTCCGAGGGGGGAGTAGAAGAAAATGACTCAAAACAGAGGGGTGAGCTGAGCTTCTTGGCATGGTGTCTTCACAAAACCGAACGTGGGTCAGGCAGATGTGATGAGCCAAACTATTACAAGAATGTCCTAAGTAGGTCAGTGTTCCCTACCACTTTAAGACCAGAGGCATCGTCTGCGCGCCTGCGTACTGAGAGGGCAAACGCCTCTTTTCCCCCTCCCCCTCTTCCTCCCAAACTCCCCAGCCGGCGCATTCTCCCATGCTCCCCTCCTTCGGGTGGCGTAATGGTCCGTCCCAGAGGGTGGCGCTCATCCTGGAGGGTGGCAGGCCAAATGGTACGTTCCACTGCCGCGTACCTCCCCGGTCTTCACGGAGCCCTTTCTTCTGTTTCCCCCTAGCAAATAAAGCGTAGTGGGCTGATCCCAAAGAAGGAGGGGGAGCCGGGCTAGGGACCGGTCTGAGCCGGTCTGTGGCGCAGGCGCAGTGCGGATAAACAGGAAGCGGGCGGCAGAGGCAGCGGCAGAGGCAGCTCAGGGACTCCAGGGGCAAATAGTCGAGGAATTAAGGCCGTTTGGAGGGCGACGGACGCTGAGGACGAAAGAAGGCTCCTCGGCCCTCCTTCCGTGAAGACGCGGTGGCGGTCTCGCCTTCCGCTTAGGCTCCCGGCTCCCAGCCCAGGCGGAGGCAGCGGCTGACAAAGGGCTCTAGCCGGTGCCGCCGCCCTTCTCATCCGGGCACTCGGGCCCCCGCCGAGAGGAAGGGGGAAGGGCGGAGGGGGAGGGGAAGGAGCCCGGGAGACGCGCGTTCGGAGCCGCGGCCCTTCGCAGGGCTCCGGCCTGTGGCCCAACGGACCGAGGAGGAGCTGCGGCGGTGGCGGCGGCCGGCGGCAGGAGGATGGTGCAGAAGGAGAGCCAGGCGGCGCTGGAGGAGCGGGAGAGCGAGCGCAACGCCAATCCTGCCGCAGCCTCGGGGGCCTCGCTGGAGCCGCCAGCAGCTCAGGCGCCCGGAGAAGACAACCCATCCGGAGCCGGGGCGGCGGCCGGGGCCGGGGCGGCCGGAGGGACCCGCAGGTTCCTGTGCGGCGTGGTGGAAGGTGAGTTCGCCTTCCAGCCCCGCCCCGGTGCTCAGCACCTGTCCCCCGGGAGGGGCGTGCTGTTGCTTCTGCAGGGGGCTCCCCCGGGTCGTAAGCTTGCCCTTGCTAACACGGGTGTGGCGGAGGCGAGAGGAGACGGCGGACACACTTCTTTTCCTCTGGTTTTTAGCGTCCGATTCTCCTGGCTATTCAGTAGCCTGACCCCACCCTCCTTGGGCTTGGAGCCAGGCCGACCGTGGAGGAGGCGGCGGTGGCAAGGAGCCTGTTGTTAGGCTCTTGTGTTTCACTGCTTTGGACCTTGGGATCTCGGTCCCCAGGGTTGTGTGCTTTCAAATGAAGAAATTTGTGCAGCGCTCCCGCCCCCGCCCTTGTAGGGATGTAAAATTCAGCCCACACAGATATGCTGCTTGTGAAGGGGAGAGCAGTCGGCCTATAATATTTCAAATTACTCCGGGCTTAGGATATTTTGTTGCTGGCCTGCAAGCCCCTTTTCCTCGTGAAGACTCATTTGCAGTCGAGCAAAGTGTCATGTTTACCAGTTGCTGTTCTTTGGCTTGTGTGTGTGTGAAAATTTCTGTATAACATTCTGAGAGCATTTGTGATGTGAAGTTAAAATTCAGTGAAAGGTTTAATTTTTATAGTTACTGTCTTCCTTCTCAGAGGAGCGTTCTGGTAGTGAGGGAAGATGCCAGAAGATCTTATTGCAATTGCTGCATAAGAATGGGCAGATAGCTGAACTCAGGGAAGCACTTTACCTTAGGTCTTCCCTAACTACATCGTAGTTTGAATTTTCTTACGTTTTTGGCAAACCCAATGTTTCCTAGCTTTTTTTAAAAATTCTCATTACTGGAGAATATGGAAACTTATCCTCAAATCACAAAGGCTAAAAGTAGGATTCCCCTGGTGGCTGGGAGCATCAGCGTTCCAGTCTTGTCACAATGTATGTCCGTTTTGAAAGACGAAAGGTAGCCGTTATGGTATTCTAGATGAAGATTAATTGCAGGGAGAGAACATTCTTGGCAGCTAAAATAAGATGTGAAACAGCTCAGCAAAATTAGAGAAATTGGGGGCAGACTGTTAGTATTTCTGAAACATGGGGGCTCTGTGTATTGTCCACACTGTGTTTGCTAGAATGCAGAGAGCTTTCAGAGAAACTGTGATGGGATTTTTTTAAGACAAAGAAGGCATGGCAATTTTATTTCTGACAAAAACTGTGGGTATAAAACAAGTTATACAAATGGTTAAGATCTGTGTGAAGCCGGGCGGTGGTGGCATACGCCTTTAATCCCAGCACTCGGGAGGCAGAGGCAGGTGGATCTCTGTGAGTTCGAGGCTGGGCTCGTCCGACAGCCTCCAAAACAATACAGAGAAACCCTGTCTCAAAATACCAAAAAAAAAAAAAAAATCTGTGTGAACTCTTGTTGAGTTAGTCTCTGAGGTCCATCATGTTGTTTGCAGACAGGGCCTCCTATGGCCTAGGGTGGGCCAGACGCTGACTAAAGCACAGAATGACTTTGACCTTCTGATCCTCCTGCCGTCTGGAGTGGCTGGGATCACAGGCCACCACCCCAGTTTAGATGCAATTTTTCCCCCCAGACAGGGTTTCTATCCTGGCCCTTGCTCTGTAGGCCAGGCTGACCTCGAACTCACAGAGCTCCGCCTGCCTCTGCCTCCTCTGCCCAGCTAGGTGTAACTTTTTTTGTTTTGTTTTTATGCTTTGTTGTTGTTTCGTCCCCCTTCCAGAATGGCCCGGAATTCACTTTGTGTTCCAGACTGTTGAAGGTTTGAGCCACGTTGCCACACAAGGTGTATTGTATTGTCAAAGGTCCTAGGATGATGAGTAGTGGGGGCAGATTTCAGGGGTGCAGAAAATGTAGAGCTAACCATGCATGTTGAGTTGATACTCTTGGTAATCTAGCATTAGTAGGCAGAGAGAAGGGTTCAGGGTTTGAGGCCAGCAGCCTGGGTTACAGAGTAAGGCCTTTTTTCAGCAACAAGAAGTAGAAGTCTGAAATGAGTTATGCTGGAGTGAATGTTGAGAAATGTGGCCGGCTTGTGGCACACATCTTTAATCCCATCTGGAGGCAGAGGTACGTTGATGTCTGTAAGATCAAGGCCAGCCTGGTCTACAGAGTTCCAGGACAGCTAGGGCTACACAGAGAAACCCTGTCTGGGGCAAGGGAGGTGGGAAGTGAGTCTTCCTTTTAAAGTATGTTAAAATAGCTCTGTTTTCAGTTGTGTTTTTCCTCCTCTCATTCCCATATGTATATTTTTCTTTAGTTTATATATTTATTTATTATTTATGCAGTATTCTGCCTATGTGTATCTCTGCAGGCCAGAAGAAGGCACCAGGTCTCATTATAGATGGTTGTGAGTCACCCTGTGGTTGCTGGGAATTGAACTCAGGACCCCTGGAAGAGCAGCCAGTGCTCTGAGCCATCTCTCCGGCCCCCATATATTTTTCTTAAATGAGCACTGAACCAGCCCCTGTGTATTCAGTATTTCTTGTTTGAGAGCATCCTATGAGGATAGGAAATACTGTAGTTATTTCCAGGATGGTTTTCTTTTTTTCCCTACAAACCTTGGTTGGTTTTAACTCTTGCTAATAGTACACTTCCCTCTTTGTGGTCCAATTAATCCAAACCATAAACCTGACTCTAAAAGAGTTTCTGAAGATTAAATTGTTAGAATTAGGGGTTCAAGCTGGGCGGTGGTGGCACACACCTTTAATCCCAGCACTCTGGAAGCAGAGGCAGGTGGATCTCTGTGAGTTCGAGACCAGCCTGGTCTACAAGAGCTAGTTCCAGGACAGCCTCCAAAGCCAGAGAAACCCTGTCTCAAAAAACCCAAAAAAACAACAACAAAAAAACAAATAAAAAAAAAGAACTAGGGGTTCGAGAGATGCCAAGTACAGTGTGTAACTCCAGGAATCCCACTCCCTTTTCCTCTGAGAACAACACATACATGTGCACAGACACATGCAGGTGAAGCATAAAGTTTAGAAATAGAAGGTGCTGCTAGGGTTTAATGATGATTGTTGTGTCATTCTTTTGGGGATACAGAATATCTGCCTAGGATTAGAGTTCCTTTGGGAGGGTGCTTATGTTCAAAATGCTTTAAAAAAAGTGTTTGGCCGTAAACAAGGCACAACATGGAAAATACAGCATGTCTGTGGAGGTCAGAGGACAATTTGCAGGAGTCCTTGTGGGTCCCAGAGGTTGTCAGGCTTGGCAGCCGCCTTTATCTGCAGAACCGTCTAGCTGTCCCCAGAGTGCTTATTTTGACCATCTTCCTTATTTCTTGCTAATGATGATTAGGTTGAGGGAAAGGATAGATTGGCTCTGTGAGGTCTATAGTGGTGTTCCTAGTGTGCTGGAGAGCTCCAAATGCCAGCTTTGCTGTCTGTCAGTCAATTTTTAGACATTATTTCATATACTTAGTTTTTCTTAAATGCAAAATAGCTGTAACTAGAAAAACAGTGTAGAAGTTTGTTTCCTAGAGTGGACACTAGGAAGTTTTTGTTGTGTTTTGTTTTTTGAGACAGAGACTAGAATGTCAGTTAACACCCCTTAACATTTATTTGTTTGTTTCTGTTTGTTTTTTGAGACAGGGTTTCTCTGTTTAGCCCTGGCTGTCCTTGAACTTGCTTTGTAGACCAGGCTGTCCTCGAACTCCGAGGTCCTCTGCCTGTCTCTGCCATGCTTGTCACCACACACTCTCACTCCTAATTTTTCATTTCACAACTTGACTCTGGAATTAAGAGGGCTTGAAAGTTTGTTGTTCAGGTCAGCACCTCTGTTGAGTTTGTGACTATATGCCTGTTATTTATTTAGTCCCTTTTTTGTTGGGAACTTTTAAAAATGGTGATCATAGCCAAGTGGGGTTAGCCTGGAACTATGTAGTTCAGACTGGCTTCAAACTTAAGATGACTCTTCCTTGGCCTGTTAATGTGCTGGGACCACTGGCCATCTTAATCTTCCCTGCTAGTGTTAACACTTGGGTTTGCTCGTGTCGTGTGTGCTGTCCCGGCCCCTCTGTAAGATAGTTACTCTTTAAACTTCCACAGTGGTAGAGTGCTTGCCTAGTATGGTCAAGGTTCTGAGGTCATTGCCAGGATTTGGGGGGAAAAGTGTGTTTTGTTATGTGGGTACTGAGAATGTGTAGTCTCATGAATACTAAACCAGTGCTCTCACTGAATTGTATCCTCAGCAAGCATGAAGAGTCCTTGCTGGCAGTAAAAAGATGGTGGTACTCCTTGTAATTCATGTGCTTGGAAGGCAGAAGCAAGAGTGTTGCTACAAGTTTGAGGACAGCCTGTATAAGTTCTGGACCAACCAGGGCTACCTAGCTAGACATCTTGTCTCACTAAAAATAAAACCCTATCTTATATGTAATAAGTGTCATAGTGGGAAATATGAAAATTTATGAGCAGTGAGAATAAGTGACCTCTTATCAACACTTACAGGTAAATGTGTCATTGAATAGCTTTCAGATTCTGATGTGTTCTATCCTTGCCACTCCCCCAGCCTCAGTCTCTGTCTCTGTCTGTATCCCTCCCTCCCTTCTTCCTCCCCTTCTGTTTCCTTCCCTCCCTGATTCAGGACCTTTGGTAGATGAGGCTGTTCACCCAGTAAACTAAGCTGTTAGCACCTCTGCACATTTCTTACTTTAAAAAGGTTTTGTAACGGCCGGGCGTTGGTGGGGCACGCCTTTAATCCCAGCACTCGGGAGGCAGAGGCAGGCGGATCTCTGTGAGTTCGAGACCAGCCTGGACTACCAAGCGTTCCAGGACAGCCTCCAAAGCCACAGAGAAACCCTGTCTCAAAAAAAAAAGAAAAGGTTTTGTAACTTTTTCTTAAACTGTACCTCATTTTTAATCTTATTTTCTTTTAACTCTAGGGTTTTATGGAAGACCTTGGGTAATGGAACAGAGAAAAGAACTCTTTAGAAGGTAAGTTTTATGTGACAGAGGAGATCCTTACGTAGGATAACCCTGATATTATAAAGCAGGGGTTGTTCTCCTTTAATCCTTTAGATCTTTGCCTAGGCTAGTGGTTTTCAAACTTTTCCTGGGGAAGTTGACAGGGTTTGGGGCTTTGTCTACTTTATTCAGAGTTGTGTTTTTGTTCAAGAATTAATATAATGGCGTGCTTTGTGATACTTAATTTGTTAAGGGCTAGAGAGATGGCTCAACGATTTAAGAGCACTGGCTGCTCTTTCAGAGCACCTGGGATCAATTCCCATATTCCCAGCACCCACATCACAGCTCACAACTCTCTGTAACTCTAGTTCCAGGGGATCTGACACCCTCACACCAATGTAAATAAATAAAATTCCATTGATAGTTAAGTTTAACAGTAGAAATTTATTTATAGCCAAATTAATGTTGCCTACTTATGCATATGTAATTTTCTTTCTCTTAAGGCTTCAGAAATGGGAATTAAATACATACTTGTATGCTCCAAAAGATGACTACAAACACAGGATGTTTTGGCGAGAGATGTATTCAGTGGAAGAAGCTGGTAATCTTTGTGTGTGTGTGTGTGTGTCTGTGTACATATATGTGTATGCCCCTGAACTTGCACACATGTGCAGACAGATGCTTGAGTATGGAGTTTATTTTCTCTTTCCAGCTGAAGGTCTCAGGGATTGAATTCTGTCTGACAGACTGTGTCGCAAGTACTTTTTCCTTAGCCATTTTGCAGGCCTTGTGGTAATGTTTTTATTTTGATCAGTTGAGTTCAGAATATACGTGTGAGTGAGAGGACTCTCTTAAGGTAGTTATACTAAACTTTTACTAAAAATTGTATTTTACTTTATGAGTAGTTTCCTTTTGTCTGGTAGCTAGTCTTTGTGATCTAGAGAAGATTTAAAGTGACATAACAAGGTCATGGTTGTGAGTGGTTCATAGATATGCCAGACTGACTTCACTTGTTCTGTGGTCAGAGATGATATTCTTTATTTCTGCTAGTGATCTTTAAATCATAAACTACTAGGCAAAGTACCAAACCCAGAGACAGGATTTGGAGAAAGAAAGAAAAGGCCACCTGCCTTGAGTACAAATTTGAGGTACTCTTCAGATTTAACCAAGATAAATCCTATTTTTTTAAGATTTTATTTATTAGCCGGGTGTTGGTGGCTCACGCGTTTAATCCCAGCACTCAGGAGGCAGAGGCAGGCGGATCTCTGTGAGTTCGAGACCAGCCTCAGAGGAATCTGCCTGCCTCTGCCACCCAAGTGCTGGGACTAAAGGTATGCGCCACCACTGCCCGGCACCAAAGGAAGTGTTTAGAGGCTCACAGTTCTAGAGAGTTAGAGTACATGACCATTATTGTGGGGAACATGGCAGCAGGTGGGCAGGCTGGAGCAGCAGCTGAGGGATTATATCTTGATTCCTAAGCATGAGTCAGAGGGAGCAACTGGGAATGATAGGCTTGTGAAATCTCACTGCTGGCCACCAGTAACACACGCCCAATAAAGCCGCACCTCCCAGACCTTCCCAAACAGTGCCAAGTATTCAAACATGCACCTGTGGGAGCCATTACTTATTCAAGCTACTATAGGGGTGGTGACGCACACCTTTTATTCCAGTGTTTTGGGGGTAGAGGTGGGTTTCTTTGTAAATCAGACAAGTGACACTGTAGAGCAACCTAGTGGACAAATAAACATCTTGTACTTAAAATTAAATACTATACATGTTTAGCTAATATGATAGATGATCGTGTATGGAACCAAGACAGTGGCTGCAGAAACTTTTCTTAAATGGTGAAGCCATTAAAAGTTAAATGACCTCTGTGTGGTGCTGTTTTCTGTTCTCTGTAAGTAAATGTGCCTTTAACTTATTATCTGATGGTATTGGTAATACAATTTTGTGTGATCACTATTCAAAATACAGTTAAGTGTCTGTTATACTATTAAATTTTATTTATAGTTATGTTCTTAGATATTTTAAAAATTGACTATCTTTTTTTTTTTTTTTTTTTTTTTTGGTTTTTCCAGACAGGGTTTCTCTGTGGCTTTGGAGGCTGTCCTGGAACTCACTCTGTAGACCAGGCTGGTCTCGAACTCACAGAGATCCACCAGTCTCTGCCTCCCGAGTGCTGGGATTAAAGGCGTGCGCCACCAACGCCTGGCAATTGACTACCATCTTAAAGGCTAAAAATCTGTGACTTTTATGGATATTATAAGATGAAGTATTAGAATTTTTTTTCCTCTTTATAGTCACATTTTTGTTGTATAGTCACATTTTTGAAGTATTAGAATTATTAAGGGCATCACTTGTTTAATTTTTATTTCATTTGCATTGGTATTTTGCTTACATGTATATCTTTGTGAGGGTATTAGATCTTGAGAGTTACAGACAGTTGTGAGCTGCCATGTGGGTACTGGGAATCAAATTTAGAACTTCTGGAAGAGCAGCCAGTGCTAGTAATCACTGAACAGACATCTCTCCAGCCCTCTAAGGACATTACTTAAACCTTATTTTTTACAAAAGTGTCTTCTTTCTTTTAAATTAAAGCAGTAGAGGCCTGTGTGCCAGCACATATCTGTAAGTCCAGTCCTCTATCCCAGAGTTTTGGAGACTGAGGCGGGAGCATCATAAGTTCAAGGCCAGCCTGTTCTACATAGTCTGGCTTCAGGTAGATTAGTGATGGAGGGATGGCTAGTGTTACAGTTGAGTGATAGTTGTGATAAATTGATAGATGAATGGAATTGTGTAAATTTATTTACCATAGGAATTTCAGTTTCTCAGATACACTCCTTCACCCTCCCAAAAGTAATGATACCTTTCAGATGTTACAAGAAGTAAAAATGGTTTGTGTTTGGTCAGAGAATTGACAATTCTGGGGGAGTTGTTTAAGACCAGGGCTGTGATGGAGGGATTGTGTAGACCGTGTGATAGCTTTGAGAGGTGATAGATAAATGGAGTTAGGTAAGCTTGACTTAGGAATTTTATTTACTCAGATAACCCCCTCTAAAAACACAAAGTGGTTATACTAGTCAAATGTTAATGAGAAGTAGAAATGGTTTGTATTCAGTAAGAGAATTGACAATTCGGGTGGGGGGTGTTTGTTTGAGAAGAGGCAGGTGAGATGGTTTGTTGTATAAGGGTGCCTGCCATTGAGCTTGGCAACTTGAGTTTGATTCTCAGGACATATGGTGGAAGGAGAGAATTGATTCCTTCAGTTGTCCTCTGTGTACACATTGCAATTAGTGCACACACAAATAAAAATGCAAAAACAATAAAAAGAACATGTTTTACTGATACTAACTTATTTTCCCCAAAAGGCTAAGAACTATTTGAAAATGAGAGAAGTAAGGTCTTTTTAAAATATTGGTGCAAATAAAAGTGAATTTTTTGTTTGTTTGATGCAGGTCCTATTTCTTAACTCAAGCTGGCCCAGAATTCACTTTCAGTATGTAGCCCAGGCTGGCCTTAAACTCATAGCTGTGCTCTTGCCTTAGCCTCATGAGTGCTGGGATTATAGGTGTGAGCCAGTACAGGGGGCGTCTGAAACTTGCTCTTTTCTCTTTGTATGAATGGTTATTGTAGGCTTGTGCCATTTTATGTAGCCTGCTATCACAGTGAATATGAGAATTTTTTTCTTTTTATTGTTTTGGGATAGCTTTTTTTTATATATATATAGTCCAAACTGACCCATGTAGCTGAGTCTGGTCTTGAACTCCTGATCTTCCTGCTTCAGTTCTGCCTAATATTGTACCAAAATACCTTACATGAATATGATACTTTCTAAATTTTAAAGATCCTACTGTAAATCTGAAGGAATGATGTTTTCACTTAGAAAGTATAGTTTATTTTAGCATTCTGAGTTGCTTTCTAAAACTAAGACTCTGTTCTTTAGAGCAACTTATGACTCTCATCTCTGCTGCACGAGAATATGAGATAGAATTCATCTATGCTATTTCACCAGGATTGGATATCACCTTTTCTAACCCCAAGGAAGTATCAACATTGAAACGCAAACTAGATCAGGTAATTTTTATGGCATTTTCTTAATTGCTTTATGATGTTAAAAGGAAATAAAATTAATACTTTATTCTATAGCTATTACTTCATAATTCTGGGTAGAGAAATATTTGTCAGTCAAAAAACTTAACTAAAATACCAATGAGATCCACTTGCCTCTGCCTCCTGAGTACAGGGGTTAAAGGTGTGGGCCACCACCAGGCTGCCTGTTTTATTCTTTTTTTTTTTTTTTTTTTTTTTTTTTTTGGTTTTTCCGAGACAGGGTTTCTCTGTGGCTTTGGAGGCTGTCCTGGAACTCGCTTGGTAGTCCAGGCTGGTCTCGAACTCACAGAGATCCGCCTGCCTCTGCCTCCCGAGTGCTGGGATTAAAGGCGTGCGCCACCAACGCCCGGCCCCTGTTTTATTCTTTAAGCAAACATTCATACTGGTGGCATCACATGGGTAGTGAAACTTTTAAGGTGGTAGCTTGGTGTGATGACTCATTATAATATTCCAGCATTTGAGAGGCTGAAGTAAGAGAATTGCTAAGAATTTGAGGTCACCCTGGCTTACAGTTAGGACTCTCGCTTAAAAAGAGGAAGCTGGAGAGATGGTTCATCAGTTAGGAGCACTGGCTGCTCTTCCAGAAATCCCAGATTCAATTCCCAGCATCCTCAAGACAGCTCACAATTATCTATAACTCCAGTACCAGGGGATCTCATGCTCTCTGCTGGTGTCTATAGGCGTAGCATGCACGTGGTGCACAGACATACATACAGACAAAATCATGCACATAAAATAGATCTTAAAAAAAAAAAACCAACAACAAATTAAGAGGCAGTGCAAGATGGCTCGGTAAGTATAAGCTCTTGCTGCAGGAGCCTAGAGATCTGAGATTGCTTCTTGAAACTCACATTTATAAACCTGGATCCAGTGACTTAAATCGGTAATCTCAGCATTCCAATTCAGAAATTGGAGGTGGATACAGAATTACTCAAAAGCTCAGTGCGACAGCTAGTTTGTAGTACATAGCATGATGGCAACAGTAGAGACCCTGCCTCAATGACAAGAAGAGAATTCAACTCATGAAAGGTTTTTGTGACCGCCACATGTGCAGTGTGCAATGACTGTACATACAGTAATTAAAGAATAAAAATTTTAAGATTGGATTTAGTGTGACTCTTTGTAGTAGGTATTTACCATGCGTCAGGCTCTGGCTTCAATAACCACATTGCTCCCCCCCCCCATATTTTTTGTTTAAAATATTTATTTATTATGTATACAGAGTTCTGTCTGCATGTATACCTGCAGGTCAGAACAGGGCACCAGATTTCATTATGGATGGTTGTGAGCCATCATGTGGTTGCTGGGAATTGAACTCAGGACCTCTAGAATAGCAGCCATCTCTCTGAGCCATCTCTCCAGCCCATTGCCCCAAAATTTTAAGATAAGTCTTTCATGAATGAACTTTTAATCAAATTGTGTTCATTCTGATGCCTACCTAGGCATTTCTATAGGGGATTACTTAGGATCGCTGTGATTTCGCCAAAGCAAAGCCTAAATAAATATTTTCATAGACTTAAGTATATTTGTTCATACTTTTGTAGTTTTTATGAATTTATTGGATCTTCTAGGGTAGGTTGTCTTATATAAACATCGTTTGAATATATACTCCCTTCAGTCCAAAATGGGAATTGGGTCTCAAAACACTAACTATATTAAATTAGACTTGCTGCCACTGAAAATGTGAAGAGATTAGATATGCTTTGATATTGCAAGGACAATATTTAACTTATGAGTTAACCATTAGTATATATTGAAAATATTATTCCCTTCTCTGAGATGAACTAATAATTGTGTTTTTTTTTTTTTTCCTAAGGTCTCTCAGTTCGGGTGCAGGTCATTTGCTTTGCTTTTTGATGATATTGACCATAATATGTGTGCAGCAGACAAAGAAGTGTTCAGTTCTTTTGCACATGCACAAGTCTCTATCACAAATGAAATTTATCAGTACCTAGGAGAACCGGAAACGTTCCTCTTCTGTCCTACTGGTATTGTATATAATAACTCAGTATTTAACTAGTCTTGGAATACATAAAAAGGATTCATGTAAGCCAGGCATGAAAGTCCACACCTTTAGTCCCAGCACTAGGGCAGTAGAGGCAAGTGGATCTCTGTGAGTTCAAGGCCAACCTGGTCTACAAAGGGAATTCCAAGACAGCCAGCACTGTTACACAGAGAAACCCTGTGTTTAAAAAAGCAAAAACAAAACAAAAAAGGATCCATGTTCTGTACCTATTGTATCCCTCCCATCATGTATAAAACATTAGGCCGGGCGTTGGTGGCGCACGCCTTTAATCCCAGCACTCGGGAGGCAGAGGCAGGCGGATCTCTGTGAGTTTGAAGCCAGCCTGGTCTACAAAGTGAGTTCCAGGACAGCCTCCAAAGCTACAGAGAAACCCTGTCTGGAAAAACCAAAAAAACAAACAAACAAAAAAAAACACATTAGAAAACATTTCTCAAAGTCTTACTTACATAGGAATAATTTAAGACCCTATAATACCAAAGAAGTAGGCTGGAGACGTTATGTACTTTTTAGTATTAGAAGTGTGTAAATATTACATTGTCAAGGTTAAAGGAGAAAATAGTATTATAGAAATGGAACCTGGAAAAGAGTCAAATTTACATGATTTTTAACTTAATCACGTCTCACTCCCTCCTTCTTGTTCCCTGTTTCTCCCTGTGAATTCTGTCTACCCCGTTTTCACTCCTCTATTCTTGTCTGATCTGTTTTTAGTAGTCAGCATAGAAAGTGTAATGGCAATGCACTTAATTTTCTTCCATTGAAAATGTTTTCATCTAGCTGGGCGTTGGTGGCGCATGCCTTTAAGCCCAGCACTCGGGAGGCACAGGTAGGCAGATCTCTCTGAGTTCTAGGCCAGCCTGGTCTACAGAGCCAGTTCCAGGACAGCCTCCAAAACAATATAGAGAAACCCTGTCTCAGAAAAAAAAAAAAGTATTTATCTTAGTCACCTCACAGTTCATCTCCATAAACTTTGCTCACAGTTTTGTTTCTCTTTTTTTGGGTGGTAGGGTGGAGGTTTTGAGACAGGGTTTCTCTGTGTAGCCCTGGTTGTGCTAGAACTCACTTTGTAGACCAGGCTGGCCTTGAACTCAGAGGTCCACCTGCTTCTGCCTGGATTAAAGGTGTGCACCCCTACTGCCTGGCTCACTTTTGTTTCTTGTTCAGGAAGAGATGATAGTATGATAGTTGTAAAAATAGCCTTTTCAGAATTCTTTTCTGGTGAGGGTGTTGGTTTTGTCTCCTGTAGCAAGTTGGGGATTATAGATGTGCCTACATCAGCATGGCAGGCTTAACTGTTTAAGAAACTTAAATTTATGTAAAATCATTTCTAATGACTAGGATTATAAAGATTGCTTGTTACTACTACTGAGTCTAGATCTCAAAAATAAACAAAATCCTGAAATTTTTAGTGGGCCAAGTCAGTCTGGTACGTACGGAGACCCTGGCTTTTTTGTTTGTTGTGTTTTTAAACACAAACATTGAGATGCGTGCCAGCAATGTAAGTAGTAGGGAGAACCTCTGCCAGGTTGAGGCTAGCTAGCCTACTGAAAGACCCTGTTCTCCAAGAAAACGAGAGATAATCTCCATGTGACATTTTGTGTCCAGCCTAGAGTAGCCTTCTGTGGAATTTTGCCGTGTGCACTGGAGTTGAGTTAGTGAGCAGGCCCTCCACCCAGCGTGCATATCTGATTGTATGAACTATTATATTAACATCTGCCAAAGTTTATTCCTTTTATGTATGATAAAAAGCCCTTTACCGTTTGAATAGAAATAGTACAGAGTTTTTAAGCATTTTCCCAGTTCCAATCCATGGCCATTTCAATCCTGACTTAATCTTCTCCCCCTCTGCATTCAGAATATTGTGGCACTTTCTGTTACCCAAATGTGGCTCAGTCTCCTTACTTAAGAACCGTGGGTGAAAAGCTTTTGCCTGGAATTGAGGTGCTTTGGACAGGTGAGTCCTCAAGAATTGTATAGTAAACTTGTATTACTAGGACTTCTTATTAGCTGAATACTTTTGTCTTTTGAGACAGGATCTCCTATATTTCAAGCCTGAAATTTGCTGTGTAGCCAAGGATGACCTTGAATTAATGGTTCTGCTGGGAATACAGCCATATCCAATATACCCAGTTTATGTGGTGCTGAGGATCAAACAGCTAATGACTGCCAGTATAGCTGTATACTAAACTAGTAGGAGATGCCTGTTTTATAAATGAGTGGACTGGTATGTTGCTATGCTAGTTTAGAAAGGAAAATTGAAGCTGGGCATAGTGAGTGGCACACACCTTTAATCTCAGTACTTGGGAGGTATAGGAACTCTATGAGTTCTAGGCCGTTCTGGTCTACATAGTGAGTTCCAGGAAAAAAAAAAGGACAAAACAAAAACTAAAAGGTTGAGCAGCTGAGGAGTTTACAGGATAGTGTATACAAGGCAGACATGTAAGAGCTGCTTATATATTTGAAAATTTTCCACATTTTTGCTGTTTTGTGTATGTAGTATAGGTGTGTAATTGCATGTGTCACAGTACATGTGTGGAAGTCAGACAGAGAACAGCTTTCTGATAGCATTTCTCTCCTTCTACCAGGTGGTCATGGGTCATCAAGTTTGGTGGCAGGTGCTTTTTATGAGATGAGGTGTCCGTCCATCCCCCCCCCGTTTTATTTAATAATTTATTTAACTTTATTTTATGTTCATTGGTGTGGAGGTGTCATATGCCCTGGAACAGGAATTACAGACAGTTGTGAGATGCCACGTAGGTGCTGAGAAATGAACTCGGGTCCTCTGAAAGAGCAGCCAGTGCTCTTAACTGCTGAGCATCTCTCCAGCCCTCTTGTTTTTTTAAAATTGCACTTATTTATGAGAGAGACTCTATGTGTTTATGCCCCTGCTCCCCATAGCATGTGTGTGTAGGTCACAGGACAATTTATGGGAGCTGAAACCTTTTATCACGAGGGTTCTGGCAATTGAATTCAGGTCATCAGGCTTGGTGGGCAAGCATTTTTATACACTGAGTCATGTCACTGGCCTTCACAGCCCTTATCTTACCTTTTTATATTTTTTCATTACATTTATTTATTGTGTATGTGTGTGTGCATGTAGAGGTCCGGCAGTTTGTAGGATCTGGTTTTCTCCTTCTAAGGGTAGGTTGTAGGATTGAACTCTGGTTGTCAAACTTGCCTTTTAAATTTATTGTTTTTTTGTTTGTTTGGATTTTTGTTGTTGTGTTGGCTTTTTGAGACAGGGTTTTTCTGTATTGTTTTGGAGCCTGTCCTCGAACTTGCTCTGTAGACCAGGCTGGCCTCTGAACGCAGATCCACCTGCCTCTTCCTCCCGAGTGCTGGATTAAAGACGTGTCCCACCAACGCCTTTCCAGATTTATTGTATTTCTTATGTATATTTTGCCTGATGTGTATTTGTACCTAGTACGTGCGTAGTGCCCGTGAAGGGATAATCTGATTCTGGAACTGGAGTTAAGGTTGCTTGTAAATCACCATGTGGGTTCTGGAAACCCAACCCGCGTCATCTGCAAGAGCAACAAATGCTCCTAACCACTGAGCTGTCTCTCCAGCCTTGCTAAAGTATATTTTAAAGAAGCATGTAGAAAGTTCTGCAAGTAAGGAAGTTCTTTTAACAAATTATTTCTAGGTCCAAAAGTTGTTTCAAAAGAAATTCCAGTAGAGTCTATTGAAGAAGTTTCTAAGATCATCAAGAGAGCGCCAGTGATCTGGGATAATATTCATGCTAATGACTATGATCAGAAGAGGCTATTTCTGGGTCCCTACAAAGGAAGATCCACAGAACTCATCCCACGGTTAAAGGGAGTGCTGACTAATCCAAATTGTGAATTTGAAGCTAACTTTGTTGCTATCCACACCCTTGCCACTTGGTACAAGTCAAACATGAATGGAGTTAGAAAGGATGTAGTGATGAGTAAGTATCCTGTATTTGATGATGGACTTTTGGGGGAGAGGTACATTCAGCTGGAGCCATTGGTAAGTGTGTCTTCCTTTATTATCACAGCTTCTATTAAAATGTGTTTTTATTTCTCTCAAGTTAGTCATAGATAATAGAACAAGAAAAGCATGAGTGGCCTTGCTCAAGTCACTGTTTTGCAAAGTCCCTAATCAAGTTTCAAGTAAGAATGTTGCCTGTTTGTTGGTTTGGATGTAAGTTTATACTTTAATTCATTGTGCCTGAAGACTCAGGTGTGTTTTCTTTGTGCAAAGGATGGTGCAGTGCTTTTAGTTGACATTGCCATCTCATTATTGGTATTTTGTGGACATTTATGACCAACATTCCCAATGATTCTAACATGCTTACCTCAGTTGGGACCTTGAACAAGTAGGTAACTTTCTAGATGGTTATTAGGATCTTCTATTTTGTTTTATGTTGGTTTGTTTTAGTTTTTACTGCTTTGCTTGTACTACAAATGAAATTTATATGTTCTCTCTTGGGAGGAGGCTTTTATAATCAAAATTATTTTTGTGTTTTTTCTCTCTCAGCTGACAGTGAAGACAGTACTGTATCAATACAGATAAAGTTAGAAAATGAAGGCAGTGATGAAGACATTGAAACTGATATACTGTATAGTCCACAGATGGCTTTAAAGCTGGCTTTAACGGAATGGTTGCAAGATTTTGGCGTACCTCATCAGTACAGCAGTGAGTTGGTCTGGGGTGGATGGGGTCATGGTACTGCATGCTAGGCAAACAGCCTATCAATCGTAGCCCATCAATTTTTACCTTATTTTGGGGGTTTTATATTATTTGTGTGTATGAATGATTGTGTGGGTGCACATTTGCCTGTGCATGTAGATGCCAACCATCCACCTTAGGACTTTTCTTTTTTATCTGGTTTCATGTAGCTCAGATGGGCCTCTAATTTGACATGTAGCCAAAGATGAACTTCTGATCCTCCTGCTGCCTCCACTTCCTGGATTCTTTTGTTTTTGTTTTCCAAGACAGGGTTTCTCTGTATTGTTTTGGAGGCTGTTCTGGAACTAGCTCTGTAGACCAGACTGGCCTCGAACTCACAGAGATATACTTGCCTCTGCTTCCTGAGTGCTAGAATTAAAGGTGTGCACCACCAACGCCCCACCTCCTGAATTCTTTTTGTATTTTCGAGACAGGGTTTCTCTGTGGCTTTGGAGGCTGTCCTAGAGCTAGCTCTTATAGACCAGGCTGGTCTCAAACTCACAGAGATCTGCCTGTCTCTGCCTCACCAGTGCTGGAATTAAAGGTGTGCGCCACTACCACCCAGCTCTGAATTCTTTTTTTTTTTAAGATTTATTTATTTATTATGCATACAGTGTTCTGTCTGCATGTATGTCCACAGGCCAGAAGAGGGCACCAGATCTCATTATAGATGGTTGTGAACCACCATGTGGTTGCTGGGAATTGAACTCAGGTCCTCTGGAAGAGAAGTCAGTGCTCTTAACCTCTGAGCCATCTCTCTAGCCCCTGAATTCTTGAAGTACAGATTTGTGCCACCCCCACAAGGCTTAACCAACTTCCATAAGGAGGTTGGATTATAGTTGAGTCACAAAGTGCAGTCATGCCCCTTAACTTAGGTCCACTAAGCAAAGTGTAATTGAGTTTTGTTGTTGGTTTTTAAGCTGGCACGTAACCCAGGCTGTCTTAGAACTTGCTGTTTAGCCAGGGATGTCTTTGAACTCCTTTCTGGTCCTCCTGTTTTCTCTGAGTGCTAGGATTAAAGGTGTGTCCCACCACTTCAGTCTACAGTATTCAGAAGGGTATGCCATCATGCCAGTTTTCAAGAAATGTTCTAATTAAATTCACTGATTTATTGTATGCACATAGAGGCATGTACATACCATGCCACAACTTTGAATAGTCAATTCTTTCCGAGTCAGTTCCAGGGATCAAACTCATGTCATTGGGCTTAATGACAAGTTTCTTAACCTATTGAGCAATTTCCCAACCCTCGGGGGAGAAAAAAAAACATTTCTTAAAGTCTAGTAAGTCTCATTTGTTCTGTTTCTGATTTTGATTACCTTTGCTTCTTCCTTTTCCCCCTTGGTAGGCAGGCAAGTTGCACATAGTGGAGCTAAGGCAAGTGTAGTTGACGGGACTCCTTTAGTTGCAGCACCTTCTTTAAATGCCACGACTGTAGTTACAACAGTTTACCAGGAGCCCATTATGAGCCAGGGAGCAGCTTTGAGTGGTGAACCATCATCTATGACCAAGGAGGAAGAGAAGAAACAGCCAGATGAAGAACCCATGGATATGGTGGTAGAAAAACAAGAAGAATCAGAGCACAAGAATGACAATCAAATACTAACTGAAATTGCTGAAGCTAAAATGGCAGAGGAATTGAAACCAATGGACACAGATAAGGAGAGCATAGCTGAATCAAAATCGCCAGAGATGTCTATGCAAGAAGATTGCATTAATGATATTGCTCCTATGCAGACTGATGAACAAACAAACAAGGAACAGTTTGTGCCAGGTCCAAATGAAAAACCTTTGTACGCTGCAGAGCCTGTGACTCTAGAGGACTTGCAGTTACTTGCTGATCTCTTCTATCTTCCATATGAGCATGGACCCAAAGGAGCACAGATGTTACGGGAATTTCAGTGGCTTCGAGCAAACAGTAGTGTTGTCAGTGTCAATTGCAAAGGGAAAGACTCTGAAAAAGTGAGTATGTTCATTGCCCCTTACTGGTTCCTCACACTAATACTGGTAATGTGCAGAGATCTGTTTATAATGCCTTAAATTTTTTTTTTGGTTTTGTTTTTGGTTTTTACGAGACAGGGTTTCTCTGTATTATTTTGGAGGCTGTCGGTCCAGCCCGGCCTCGAACTCAGAGATCCACCTGCCTCTGCCTCCCGAGTGCTGGGATTAAAGGCGTGCGCCACCGCCGCCTGGCTGCCTTAAAATTTTTTAAAGTGTTTGGTTTTGGTTTTTGAAGACAGGGTTTCTCTGTGTAGCCTTGGCTACCGTGGGACTCTCTTTGTAGGCCTGGAGCATACAGATATCTACCTTCCTCTGCCTCCCATGTGCTGGCATTAAAGGGATGTGCCACCACTGCAAGGCTTTAAGGTTTATTTGTAATTGAGTGTAGGAATCTGTATGTATCTGTGTGTGTCTATGTGTGCGTCTGCATATAGGAACATAAATTCAAGTTTCCACAGAGGCCAGAGGCATTTGATCCCTTGGAGCTAGAGTTAGAAGCATTTTGTGAGCCGCCTGATGTGGGTTGCTTGATTCAAAGCTGATTGTCAATATAGTGCCAGCTGGCTTCCAGCTCACAGTAGTCCTGGCTCAGCTCCCCAAGTGTTAAGATTGTGGAAGCTCCTCACCTGTAACAAACCTCCACATATGCCTGATGTGAGTGGTCCTTACCTGCAGTTCTAGCACTTTAGTGATGAAGCAGGAGGATTCTGGAGTTTAGAGTCGTTTTCCACTACCTGAGTTTGATTGGCCTGAGTTATTAGAGACCCTACCTCAAAACAGTGACAACCCCCCCTAAAAAAAAGATGACCAAGTTTGATTTCTTCCTTTTCTCTCCTCAGCCACATTACTGTGAGGAAATTACTTTTATTTCATGTGTATGAATGTTTTGCTTGAATACATGTCTGTGTGCCACAATTGTGCCTGGTGCCTGAGGCCACAAGAAGGTGTCACATCTCCTGGGAGTGTTTGTGAGGCCACCATGTGGGTTCTGGGAAACAAATCTTAGTCCCCTGCAAAAGTAACAATTGCACTAAGCTGCTGAACCATCTCTCCACCCTTGAGATTCTTAAGTGGATATACTAGTACGGGTGTAAATTTGGCCATATTTTAGACTGTGTTCTCTAAAATAAATGGGAAGTTTTCTGTGTCTGGTACCTTGACTTTTTCAGTGTGAGAGAACAGTGCATTTTAGGTATTTTCTGTGAGTTTCTGGAGATAAACTAAATGCTCATCTAGAGTTTAAACCAGTGATTTTCTAATGTTTAAGATAAATTGCGCCGGGCGTTGGTGGGGCACGCCTTTAATCCCAGCACTCGGGAGGCAGAGGCAGGTGGATCTCTGTGAGTTCAAGGCCAGCCTGGTCTACAAAGCGAGTTCCAGGACAGCCTCCAAGACAATACAGAGAAACCCTGTCTCGAAAAACCAAAAAAAAAAAAAAAAAAAGAAAAAAAGAAAAGATAAATTGTATGTGACTGCTAAAGAGCTCAGTTTGGAACTCTGATTTTGTTAGTTAAAATTGTTTCTTTGTCCTTTTTCTTTTTAACCTGTGTAGATTGAGGAATGGCGGTCTCGAGCGGCCAAGTTTGAAGAGATGTGTGCACTAGTGATGGGGATGTTCACTCGGCTCTCCAATTGTGCCAACAGGACGATCCTTTATGACATGTACTCCTACGTTTGGGACATCAAGAGTATAATGTCTATGGTGAAGTCTTTTGTACAGTGGTTAGGTAGGTGCAACAGCAATAATCTTACCTCCTCATTCATATATATTGTACTTAAAAAATTATCCCACAGGGAGAAAACCATTTAGAGAATTGGCAAATTTCCATGTTTTTCAGTTCTTTGCCTACATTTTTATTAAAGGTGAACATAGTTGAAAATTTTGCAGGTTTTAGTAATTTTGTTGAGCATGTTAATTTTTCTCCCTTGGGCTAATTTCATAAATACCTTGAAAATCTGTTAGAAAGTACTGACTTTAACATGCTCTGACTGAATGCTTCCTGGATGGAACCCTGAGTCCTCCATTGACCTGATTTGGAGATGAGACTCTATGAGATGTGACTCTGTAAGCTTTCTGCTGCTTGCTGTGTCTTGATAACGTTAGTGCTGTGTTTGATAGAGTAACTGCTGCAATTACCCTAGGGCCTGGCAAGAGGAAGCTGTCCTCCCAGCCCTGTGCGCATGCGAGCTTTAGTGGAAGGCTATTCTGGTGCTACTTGGTGTTACTTCATGTGGCTGTTTCTTTATCCCTCTACCAAGTAATTGATTTAGTATGGAATGGAAATTACAGTTCCCTATCCACCTATCAACTCTGCTTCGCCCAGTGGACTTAGATGCTTCCCACCCCCCCCTTTTTTCCTTTTTTTGTTTAGTTTTTGGAAATTTCCAAACTTGGTTTAAAAAAAAAAAAGCACCAGCATGGCCAAGTTATCTAGGAACCTCATTTCATTTCCAGGTTTTCAGTGCAATGGACTTACAGCACACAGCAGGCAGCAAAGCTAACTGATGTGTCAGTTTTCATAGTAGTTATAAATACTGTGACGGGGGTTTCATGATGTTAGTTGTGAAATAGGTGGTCTGAAACATGGTCAGCTCCTGAGTAGTAAGATTTCTAATTCTCCACCCATGTGCTTTTGGGCTCCTAACTATTAAAAAGGAAGAATCTCTGATTATTGACTTAGAAACTGTGAGAACTCCCTTTGTGTTCCTGTGTATTAGCACAGCAGCCTTAATAGAAGACTCTATCTGGGTGGGAGACATCTCTGTAGGCTCATGGAGCAGAAACCTCTCTGTATTGACCTTTGGATGACAGACAGAACTTGCCTTCCAGGCTTTTAGCCAGGGAGTTGTTTGGCCTTATAGGCATTTACATTTTAAGTCTCCAAGGCCCCTGGGAATTTTGAACCTGAAATGTAGATTATTGAGCTTGAGAATGTAACACTTAAAATACTACATTTGAGGGTTTAATCCTCAGTATCATTCTACCCATCCAAGAATTACTGAAAGTTAAATTTTATTATATCCAGTCTTGTTTCTTTCTCTTCTCAAGCTATCTTTGCCTGAGAGTGATTTTCATCAGTTGGTACAGTTTCAAGGCCAGAACATTACGGTTTTAAACTACACCAACACCATGTAGTTGTACAAGTGCCCATGACAGGGAGAGCATCTTCATGACCAGCTTCAGGGGCTCATGATTAGAATCCCTTGTTTTCTTCCTTTCTCCAGTCCAGCTGGCATTCAGTCCTTTAAAGAATGTGGCTCTGCAGTACTTTTGATTACTAACGACTTCTATTGTCTTCTTCCCCATTGTGTACAGATGGGAGAACCCTCAGCACAAGTGTCTACTACTATTGGATGGACAGCGGCAGATGTTCACAGCGCGTCATGATTAATTAGTTTAAGTTGAAAGGCTGTATCTGTGAGGTAGCTCAGGTAGAATAAACTAGGGCAGTAGATATGAACTGAAGTCACGTTTGCGCAGCGTCTGAGGCATTAACCGTGTTTTCATTTACACAGCTCTTCGTACATGCAGCTTTTTACTGTACTAGTTGGAAGTGCTAGTTATGTTGGAGTCTCAAAGTGGAGGGTAGGGAAAAATTGGCTGAACTTAAAGTTTGAGAAGTGTAGTGTTTTGGATTTTTTTGTTTTTGTTTTTGTCTTTTTTTTTTTAGTGTAAATCAGAATTATGGAATGGGGCAAGCTCTTGTAGTCTAAATTTTGACCCATTTCATGCTTATTTTACAAATACTACATTTTATAGGTTTGTGTTTGTTTTTGCTTCTTTTTTCCACCCCTTGTTTTTTGTTTGTTGTTGTTTTGGTGGTTTTTTTTTTGTTTTGTTTTTGGTATTTTTTGTTTAAATACATAACCCTACCCTTAAAACATAACAAACCTAAATATAATCTCTTAATGGGCTGAATTGTCAACAAAAATTTGGTTTGCTTTGGGACTGTCTGACTAGCACACTGTGTCTTATACTGATGAGACTGTTAACTTAAACAGGAGGTAGATGCTGTCTTCCAATGGAAAAGAACTATATTGCGCTGCTATGTCTTGTCAGAAAACCAGGCAGGCCATTTCTAGTTTCCAACATTTGGTTGTTGACTGTATTGCGTCTGAGGTTGGTTAGTGATGACTGACAACCGGCCCTCAAAGCCTGCTCCTGATGCGTGTGCCCATCACACCCAAACACTCCTGTGCTGTCACACTTAAGAAAGTGTGCTTTTAGCTTTGCACAAATGGGGAAAAGTAATTGGCTAGCCCTTGTTCTCAGATCTTGGCAGACTGGTATTTTAACTGGTCATGTCTGAATTTAGATTGTCATTTTCCATAAAGACTAAATGCTTCATTGTTTCATTTTTGACTACAGTATTCTGCTGACCTTAAGTTTTCTGACAAGATTAACTCCCCTTTTCTTTTCCTGTATCCTTCCCAAAATGTAAAATGTGACTTCAGACAGGTTTAATTGAAGTTCCTTCACGGGCTGTGATAATAAAATGTCTATCTCATTCATTTCGGTTTATAGTCACAGAATTTCATGATAGATAAGCAGCTGTTTGATTTATTGCTGTGCATGAGGAATACAGAAACTTTACTTAGATAACCTAATTATTCCTTCCAGTAATTAAAGCATAGAACTGATAATAATGGTTTCCATTAATCAGAGGAAAGAATAAAAGTATTGAAATGCTATTATAAATTTAAAGATAATTATTATCACAGCCTTGCCTTGAAACCCCGGAATTAGTACTTATAGAGAAGCTATTTCCAGTGTGTGTTGGTTTGTTGGACATTTGAGACCCCAGGAAATCCCTTTTCTGTAACGTTCTCCGCTTGGATCTGATCTCAACAGGGTGTCGTAGTCATTCTTCAGCACAGTTCTTAATTGGAGACCAAGAGCCCTGGGCCTTTAGAGGTGGTCTAGCAGGAGAGTTCCAGGTATCAATATGAATTCACAACTGAATTGACATTTTCTTTGTTTTATGAGAAACCTTATGTTGCGCATCAGATGGCTGGAAGGATTGGTCTGCCGAAGGCTTTCTAGTCCCAAATTCGATTTAGTTACATAGCTGGATTTTAAATCAAATTTTCCTCCTCTTTCACAGTAATTTCTGAAGGAGATGCTGTCAATCCCCCCGCGCCTGCGAAGCGCTGCGGCTCTAGGTGTACACTTCACATTGTTTCTTTGCAGGTCGCACAGCATTTAAATCTGCGCCCGCAATGCACAATGCGCGCATGCTTGTCTGCCAGTGGAAACTCCATGAACAAAATGATGGCTTATTAATGCAAGTGGACAATAGAGGCTTAAAGGGTGGTTCCTTGGTTACTTAACAAATACACTTTAAAAATAAGACACTCTGCTACTGACGGTCTGAACAAAACAGACAGTGTTCTTGCTCTTGGCATTTGTTCATGGACTTTCAGGCGCTCTACTTTTCTCCCCCAACAGGTGCTCTGCTGCGCACAGCAAACTGAAGCGCATTGCTTTGGGGATAAAGCGTCTCCTGGACAGATAACCCTCTTCAGACCAAACCTCTCCTCCTCACAGTCTGCTCTGCCATCTTGTAGTAGAAGATGGTTCATTTAAGATTGGTTTTTAAAACAATTTATGTCATCATTGGAGTAGTTTTGTTTTTTGTTTTGTTTTGATTATAAAATTAGATTTCTATTATGCCATTAAAGCTGTGTAAGGCAGTTTGGGTAATTTCTATTCTGAAACACCCCTCCCCCAGGAAAGAGGTATTATATTAGTAAAGTGTAGTGCACCCCTCTTCTTTAGGTATGCCTGCAGTAGCCAGTTAATGTTAAGTTGGTACTCTGCAGTGCACACTCATTGAAAGAAATGGTGTATTCTCAACACTAATCGGTCTCCCCTTTTTTCCTTCCTACAGCGTTTATTGCCAATTGATGGGGCAAATGATCTCTTTTTTCAACCACCTCCACTGACGCCTACCTCCAAAGTTTATACTATCAGACCTTATTTTCCTAAAGACGAGGTAATTTTCTACCTATCAACTTGGTGTATAGTTAAGTGCTCATTTACAGCCTTCCTTTGAACTAGATGGTTACAAGAATTGCTTCTGTGTCTTAAACTACTGCTCACTTCTCTGTGTACTTACGGGGTTAGGGGTCTGACTCTCAGTCATCACTGACACACCAGCCCTCTGTTTTTGAGGCCTACTTAGTCTACATAGTGTGTTTCAGGTCATCTAAGGCTGCATGGCGAGAACCTGTCTTAAAAACAAAGACAAAGGATGATTTTGTTTTGTTCATGGATTCAGTTTGTGGGCAGCCAGCTCTATTATTGCATGTCATTACATCATGGTCCAATGGCAGAATAGAGCAAAGCTGCTTACCCCATGACTGCTAGAAAGTAAAGCCGGCCAGTTAAATTGTACCCTTCAGAATCCCTGCTTTGTCCAGCAGGCCTCACCTCACTTTTGTCCAGAAGCCTGTCAGCTGCATATCAAGCTTTAGACATTTGGCTAATCATATAGCCATTGGCAGGGGACAAGATTTCAGATCAGAATTGTGACTAAACTCCCCAGCTCTTAAATACCAACCTGAGATTAGGAAGTTGATTAAAATATTGAGCCCTGGAGGGGTAAATTTAGTAAAAATTTGAGGGAAGAGCCTAAGGCATTTACTTCCTTCGTGGTTTATTATTTTTTTAAGATTTAGTTATTTTTTATGTATGCAGCATATGTCCTTCTGCCTGCACTCCTAAAGAGGGCACCATTACAGATGGTTGTAAGCCACTATGTGGTTGCTGGGAATTGAACTCAAAACCTCTGGAAGACCAAACAAGTGCTTTTAACCTCTGAGCTGTCTCTCCAGCCCCTCCTTTAGAACTTTAATAACTCAAGCCGGGCGTTGGTGGCGCACGCCTTTAATCCCAGCACTTGGGAGGCAGAGGCAGGCGGATCTCTATGAGTTCGAGGCCAGCTTGGCCTATAAGAGCTAGTTCCAGGGCAGCCTCCAAAGCCACAGAGAAACCCTGTCTCGAAAAACCAAAAAAAAACAAAAAACAAAAAACAAAAAAAAAACTTTAATAACTCAAGTTGAGTCCTTTAATTCTTCCCTTTAAAAACTGAAAATGAAGACTGAGTGTGTTGGTGTGCACCTTTAATCCCATTATTTGGGAGGTTGAGTGGGTTTTGGTGGCTCATGATTATAATCCTAGCACTCACGATATTGAGGCAGAAGAATTGGTGCAAGTTCAAGGCCAGCTTGGGCCATGCATGGTACATTCTAGGACAATGAACTGTGGTGTGAGACCTATCTAAAAAAGCCCAATAAATAAATCAAATGTCTAATTCACAGTAGGGATTGCAAAACAGTGTGTCTTAATTATGTTATCCTTGACTGATTTTTCTCGTATGTCCTTTAATTTTCTGTAGTAAATTGCTTACTGGCTGTTGGCAATCAGTCATTTAGAGAAAGTAAGCAAGTCTGTTCAAAGACAGTAACATGTTTAAAGCATTGTGGAACTATTACAAAAAGTGAAAGTCTAGGGGCTCAACAGTTAAGAGCATTGCCTGTTCTTCCAGAGGACCTAGGTTCAATTTTCAGCACCCACATGGCAGCTCACAACTGTCTATAACACCAGTTCCAAGGAATCCAACACCCTCACGCAGATATAAGTGCAGGCAAAACACCAGTGTGCCCCCCCCCCAAAAAAAAAGTGAAAAACTAGCAGGCCCTTGTGGCCCTTGCATTTAGTTTCAGAACTTGAGTCTAAGGCGAACTTGGACTGTGTAGTGAGACCCTGTCTTCAAAAAACGAATGAGAGTCTCTTAAAAAGTTGACTGGTTCCAGGACAGCCTCCAAAGCCACAGAGAAACCCTGTCTCGAAAAACCAAAAAAAAAAAAAAAGTTGACTGGTTTTGAGGCCAGGCGGTGGTGGTGCACACCTTTAATCCCAGCACTCGGGAGGCAGAGGGAGGCGGATCTCTGTGAGTTCGAGGCTGGGCTGGACCGACAGCCTCCAAAACAATACAGAGAAACCAAAAAAAAAAGTTGACTGGTTTTGAATCCTCACTTTATTTTGGAAACCCATCTCCAGGCTGGAGAGATGGCTCAGTGGTTAAGAGCGCAGCCATTCGCTTCCCAAAGTTCGCAGCTCCTCAGAGTACCTGCCCTCAAGTGCACCTACCCCACACATGGACACAGTTTTGAAGACAATAGAAAGTAAAGGTTTCTAACAATTTTCAGTCTTTATTAATGCCCTGCTGCTTCTGAGCAGTTTACAGGTGTGACCTAAAGTTTTAGTGCTAGGTATCTAGTGTATATGCTAGGTGAGCGTTGTACCACTGAGCTATAAGCCCATTTCAATAATACTTAATAAAACAAAGGTGATTTTTCTAGCTGGGTAGGAGTGGTTCATATTTTTAATCCCATCACTTGGGAGGCAGAGGCAGGCGGATCTCTGAGTTTGAGGTCAGACTGGTTTACAGTACAACCAGGGCCAGAAACCTTGCCCCCCAAAAAACCCAAAACAAGACATAAATAAATAAACAAACAAATAAATAAGTGGTGATTTCCCACCACCACCACCCAGGTGACGTTTCTGATAAGCCACACATCCCCCCAACCCCCAGTTTTGTAATTCCTTTTCTGAGACAGTTGGTTTGTAATCCATAGTTGTAACCTGATTTATAGCCTGCAATCCTCCTGCCTCAGCTTCCCATGTACACTGCCACACATGGCTGTTGATACTCATTTTTGACATTTGTCTTGGTGTGCTCACTAACTAGATTATATTTTCAGGCTTCTGTGTACAAGATTTGCAGAGAAATGTATGATGATGGAGTGGGCTTACCTTTTCAGAGTCAGCCGGACCTTATTGGAGACAAGTATGTGATGCCTGTTGGGATTGGAGAATAGATAACTTCATGTAGCAGGTTAAGGGGAGGTGTTGACTAAAGGTTATTTAAGTTCCAGTTTAGTCTTAGTTAAATCTGGAAATGAGTATAAATGAATGTGTATGTCTGTTTCTTTTATCCAAAAATTAGTTTTCATAGACTTAAGTTTGTTGGACCGGCTGGGCAGTGGTGGTGAGCGTCTTTAATCCCTGCGCTCAGAAGGCAGAGGCAGCCGTTCCCTGTGAGTCGAGGCCAGCCTGGTCTACACAGTGAGTTCCAGGATAGCCAAGGCTACACAGAGAAACCCTGTCTCAATAATAATAATAATAATCAATAAATTGTGAATTCTATGTTAATAACTTACAAGCTCACTCTGGCTTCCTTCCTTCTGAGCAGGTTAGTAGGAGGACTGCTTTCCCTCAGCCTGGATTACTGTTTTGTCCTAGAAGATGAAGATGGCATTTGTGGTTATGCCTTAGGCACTGTAGATGTGACACCCTTCATTAAAAAATGTAAAATTTCCTGGATTCCCTTCATGCAGGAAAAGTACACCAAGCCAAATGGTGACAAAGAGCTCTCAGAGGCTGAGGTAATACAGTGATTTTATATTATGGTAATTTTAAGAAATTAAAATGTAAAAATCACCAAGTATAGTGGTTATATATCTTTTTTTTCTCAGCATTCAGGAGGCAGACACAGATAGTTTGAGGCCAGCCTGGTCTATGTAGCCAGAAAGACAAGGGAAATTATTGCTTTAAAAACATAAAAAAAATGTACGTGCTTTTTTGTTTGTTTTGGTAAATTCATGTAGACTACGCTGGCCTATGCCTCCTGTGTGATGTACTCACAGTTATAATCTTGATGGTTTTTTGTTTTTTCTCCCCAAGACAGGGTTTCTCTGTGTAACAGCCCTAGCAGACCGCTATTTTAATTTTTCCAGAGTTTGTGTATGGGGGTGTTTTGTTTGCTTGTTTGTCTATGCACCTGGAGTTAGGTGTGGCTATGTGATGTGATCCTTGGGATCCTTTGGAAGTCAGCGAGAGCCTTTAGCTGCTTAGCTATCTTTCATGTGCTTACTTCTGGATTTTGGTTATTTGAGACAGGGTCATGTGTAGTCAAGGCTGTTTCAAATTCAAGGTCGGCCTTGAACTCCTGATCCTCCTCCCTCCACCTCCCAAATGTTAAGGTTACAGGTAAGACCCACCACTTGGTAGCTGATGGTCTTTTTTAAACAGTCTTAATTCGATTTACTTTTTCTGCATAGTGATCCTGTGTGTTGGCCACAACTGGAGCCTGGATCTTTTGTTTTTGTTTTTGTTTTTGTTTTTCGAGACAGGGTTTCTCTGTATTGTTTTGGAGCCTGTCCTGGAACTCACTCGGTAGACCAGGCTGGTCTCGAACTCACAGTGATCCGCCTGTCTCTGCCTCCCAAGTGCTGGGATTAAAGGCGTGCGCCAACGCCCGGCTGGAGCCTGGATCTTTTGAGTAGAGATTCTAGTATGAGTTTATATAAGATGATGGGAGAATTCTTGTTAGGGAGACTTGGTTTGGGGCATCAGACAGCAGTAAGTCTTGGCAGAGTTGCCCTGGGCAGCAGCACGGTCCCTGGTTGATGTGCAATAGTCATCAGTAGTGGCTTAACAGGAGAGATTAGATTATGCCATTGCCTGTGGGGCCACAGAACCTTGTCACCTTGCATGGGACAGTGTGGGGCATGCTAGTCTTAAAGCCCCGGTAGCCTCTCCACACAAGGACAGTGGAAAGCTTGACCAAGGTAAATAGCCCTTTGGATAGCAATACCTCCTGGAGCACTCAACATCTAAGACTAACAGGACCAGAGTGAGTTCCCATTAGTGACACAAACCCTAAGCCTGGTCTGGTTGGCCCAGATCTGTGTTCGCATTGGCAGAAATAAGCAAAACCCCTCATCCTTAAAGGGATGCTTCCAGGAAAAAACCAGTAATCTCAGCTTCCTTGATGGGCTGGGAGAATAGGTTGATTTCCTCCAGGTATGATCTGCATGTCCTTGACCAGGCAGCCCATTTGGTGATGAGGATTTCCTTTGCTTGAGTGATGCTGCTGCAGCCCTGCCGCTTTCAGTAAGACCTCAGCTCTGTCCCTGACCTGCATCTATCTGCAACTCCTTTTTTCTTAGCTTACCCTGGTTCTTTTATTCTAAGTATATTCACATTTTGTGCATATAGTACACAAAGTTTTTAAATGTTATTTTAAGTAATTTGTAGATTTCCAGAAATTTTTTAAATTAGTAAGGAGTTCGTCTGTTCCTTGTTCATTTTAGACATTTCTCAACCCTAAGAAGCCTCTGCTGTCATGTCATTATGAACTAAATTTCACACTATGCACCAGTTTTCCTACTAACATCTTTCATTTGTTCCAGTGTCTAATTCAGATTTCCACATTGAATATTTGTCTGGTTTTTTTTAATGAAGTTTTATTTTATTTATTTATTTATTTGGTTTTTCGAGACAGGGTTTTCTCCGTTTTTTTTTTTTTTGTTTTTTGTTTTTTTGTTTTTTGGAGGCTATCCTGGATGCTGGCCTCTAACTCACAGTGACCCTCCTGCCTCTGCCTCCCGAGTGCTGGGATTAAAGGCGTGCGCCACCAACACCCGGCTTAAAATGAAGTTTTATTATGTGTTACTGCCCTGGCTAACCTTGAACCTTTTGGACTCAGGATATTCCTGTCCTCATGAATAACTGACTTAGATTTTCGGGTTTTTGTTTGTTTGTTTGTTTTGTTTTGTTTTTTCAAGACAGGGTCTTATGTAGACCAGACTAGCCTTTATCTTCCTGCCTCCAACTCCCAATTGCTGGGATTAAAAGTGTGTGCCATCATGTTAGGCCCTAGATTTTTATTTGTTTTGGGTTTTTTGAGACAGAGTTTCTCTGTGTAGCCCGAACTTGCTCTGAAGACTGGGCTGGCCTTGAAAACATAGAGATCCACCTGGTTCTGCCTCCCAAGTGCTGAGATTAAAGGCGTGTGCCACCACCACTTGGCAGATTTTTAAAGTCTATGTGTTGCTGAGGATTGAGTCTCCAGCTTCACACATGCTAAGCTTGAGACATAATCTCCCTCCTGGAACTTACTCTTGTAGACTAGGCTGACTGGAGTATAGGCATGAACAGCTGTTGTTACTTGGTCTAAACAAACCATTTTAGTTTTTAAAGATTTAACTTTTGTGTTTGTATGAAGTATAAATATATATGTACCTCTGTGCATGTATGGAAGCCAGAACTCAACACTGAATGATTGTGTCCTCTTCCACTTTAAGGCAAGTTGAACCTAGGGTTCACATTTATTTTCTCAGATGGTCAGGAAGCCAGCAAGAGGGCTGGAGAGACGGTTCAGTGGTTAAGAGCACTGCTTTTCCAGAGGTCCTGAGTTCAATTCCCAGCAACCACATGGTGGCTCACAATCATCTGTAATGAGATCTACCGCCCTCTTATGGCCTGCAGGCATACATGTAGGCTGAATACCGTATACATAATAAATAAACCTTAAAAAAAAAAGAAAAAGAAGCCAACAAGATTCAACTCTAATTCCAGCTTCTTGAAAGCAGGGTTATAGTCATGTACTAGCTGCCTTGCATCTTACATGGGTGCTGGGATCCTGAACTCCAGCCCTTATAACTTCAGCAAGTGTTCTTAACTCCCAATCTATCAAACCCTCCAGACTGTTGGTCCCTTGTATCCTTGGCCATAGATACACATTTAGAATTGTAAGCTAATTGGTTCTTGCTGTGCTGGCAAAGTTAACGCTGCTTTCCTTTCCTGAGTTCTGGGAGACAGATAAAAGTAACTTGAAATAAAAAAGTTTTTTTTTGTATTTTGTAGAAAATAATGTTGAGTTTCCATGAAGAGCAGGAGGTTTTGCCAGAAACTTTCCTTGCCAACTTCCCTTCTCTGATAAAGATGGATATTCACAAAAAAGTTACAGACCCAAGTGTTGCTAAAAGCATGATGGCTTGTCTCCTGTCTTCACTGAAGGCGAATGGTGAGTACAAGGTTGTGTCATTTGAGCGAGAGAGTCTTTAAAAATACTTTTACTCATCTTGTGGGTATGATTGTGTATGGGTATGTGAGCAGAAGCCAGAGGAAGATTTGTAGGAATTGATTCTTTACTTTTACATGTGATGTGGTTCCTAGGGATCAAACTCAGGTGAGCAGGCTTGGTGACTGGTGCCTTTACTCACTGAACCATCTCACCAAGTCTGTATTATTTTAAAGTATTTTATTTTGCCCTTTTTGTCACAGCCTGTCCTAGAGCCCTATGCACTCTTCTCTTTCAGCTTCCTGAGTGCTGACATTTCTCACAGAAAAAGAAAGCTAGGTCTGGTCACTCTTGGAACCCTTAGCACTCAAGAAGCTAGGATTGCTGCAAGGTCCAGGCCAGGTTGGGCTGCATAGTGAAGCCCTCTCCACAAAAGCGGGGTTGGGAAGGATGACAGTGACACAGATGGGAAGAGGAGAGGGCCCATCAGATGAAGGCCCTTGTTCAAAGATGCCAGACTGATAGCCTGCTTTCCTTGACTTACACATACATGCCATGGCACACGGGTCTTTTAAAAAAGCCTGCTGACCTGAGTTGAGTTTCCAGAGTCCTCTGGGGTCACGTGTGCCGTGGCACATGCACTCACAGTGATAGTTTCTTTACAGTTGCATTGCTCTCCTCCCCAGTGTTTGTGTGTGCCTTTTGGGGGTGCTGTGTGGTCTTACTATTACATTGCCCAGGTTGCCCCAAATTCTTGGACTCAAACTGCCTTCCTGCCTCTTAAGTACCTGGGTCTGCACCTGCTCTGTCTGGCTTACTGCTTATTTTGAGGTATTACTGGTATAAGAGTTCAGTAGTGTGCATTTGAAAAATGCTTTTGTTCTTTTATAGCATGAATACTAATTTTGACCCTTGTGAAAAAGGAACACATGACATTCATTTTGCTCAGAGGCTCATAAATGGGTGAAAATTAAATTTACCAAATGAAGAAACTTGGTACAATTTTTTGTTAGAATATATTACCTAAATGGAACCTTCGCAAATTCCTTGCTTTACCATCAGTGCTATGAAAAAAGTAATGGAATAGAGCAACATGTTTTAGACTCTTAGGGCCCAAGATAGTAGTTCTTGAGCATTTTTTAAGCAGCCTTTTAAAATGGAAGAATAAGTTTTAAGGCAGAACATTGTGGGTACACACAATCCCAGAATTTGAGAAACTGAAGTAAGGGGGATTACAAGTTCAGGGCTAGCCCAAGCTACATGGTAATAACCTGTCTCAACAAAAGTTAGCCCTTGACTGGTAGGAAGGTGACTAGTCAAGCCGTTTTCAGAGTTGTAGAGTCTGGTGATGTGGAAAACACCTAGTATGCACAAAGCCATGGCTTGCTCCCCTAGCACTGTCCACCCAACCCCCAAATTGTTCCCCTAGCACCGTCCACCCAACCCCCAAATGGTTGTGTTTGCATTTTGCACCATGGGAGATTGAATCTAGGGCATCAGTAGGTAGACACCATTGACCTTTACCTCCCAGCCTTAAAATTTTTTTTAAAATTATTTTATGTGAATTAGTGTTTTGTCTACATGTGTCTCTGTTCTATGTATGTGAGTGCCTAGTACCCCCAGGTGAGAAGGTAATCCTCTTGTACTGGCAAGACAAAGTTGTGAGCCACCATGTAGGTCGTGGGAATTGAACCCAGGTTCTCTACAAGAGCAAGTGCTCGCCGGGCGTTGGTGGCGCACGCCTTTAATCCCAGCACTCGGGAGGCAGAGGCAGGTGGATCTCTGTGAGTTCGAGGCCAGCCTGGTCTACAGCCTCCAAAGCCACAGAGAAACCCTGTCTCGAAAAACCAAAAAAAAAAAAAAAAAAGAGAGCAAGTGCTCTTAACCACAGAGCCAACTTTTCTAGGTTCCCCCCTTCTTTTTTTCACTTTGAGACAGTGTCTCTCAGTTTTTGAGATATGTCTGAACTCATGGTAGTCTAGGTAGTTCTTGAACTAGTGATCCTCCTGCCTTAGCCTCCCAGATAGCTGCTGATAATAAAAAATTCACCTTGTAAACCACTCATGGAGGCACATACTGTTAGTCCCAACACTCAGGAGGCAGAAGCAAGTGGGGCTGTGAGTTTGAGGCTATCCTGGTTTACATAGTTGAGTTCTAGTCTAGCCAAGGCTACATTGTGAGACCCTGTAGAAAGGAAAAATTAAACAGAACGCACCTTGTTTATTATTGCATTTATATATTATTTGAATTAGTTACATTCACTTTGTAGACTAATTCAACTTTGAAAGAGGATAATTCTCAGTGTTTACTTAGGATGAAATGTTACAGACATTAACTATGTCTGAAGAATATGCATGGGCCTGCTGAGTAAAGGCAATTGCTGACAAACGGAAAGACCCGAGTTCCGTCTCTGGGACCCATGTGGCGGAGAGAGCCCACTCGTGCAAGTTGTCTGTAAATGGACACTTTCCTCCTGCTTGCCAGTTCCCACACAGTTGACTCAGGCCGAGCATGAATTTTAAATGCTCCACTGATAACTCAGGCTTATTACTAACTAGCTCTTACATTTAAATTAACCTATTTCTATTAATCTGTGCTTTGCCACGGGGTTTGTAGCTTTATCTGCCCTCTAGCACATCTTGCTTCCTGGGCTGGCTGGCTCCTCACTTGCCCTCCTCCTTCCTATGATTCTCAGTTTGGTTTTCCCACCTAACTTCCTGCCCAGCTACTGGCCAGTCAGCTTTTTATTAGCCAATGAGAGTAGAGTAATACTTACTCGTAGTGTAGAAAAAGATTCCACTGCAGTTGTCTTCTAACTTGCACACCTAACCTCTGCCCCTAAACATATACACAGAGCATAAGTAATTGTTTAAAGCAATGTCCAACATTATGATACACAGGCTTGTGACAGGCTAGAGTAGGTTCTAAAAGTGTATTGGGTGCTTATATTTACTTTCAATGCCCATTTCTCAAAGAATTTTCTTTTGTGGAAAGAGTTTTACTAACTGCACATGCTTTAATACCAGCCCAGAGGCAGGTGGATCTCCTGAGTTCAGAGTGAGCAGCCGGGGCCACACAGTTAGCCCTTATCTCAAAAACAAAAACAACAAACACAGTAATCGATGAAGTGGTGGCACACTGTTAAATCCCAGCACTGGGAGGCAGAGGCAGGTGGATCTCTGTGAACTTGAGGCCAGACTGGCCCACAGAGTGAGTTCCAGGACAGCCATGGCCTACACAGAAAAATCCTGTTTCCAAAAAATTTTAATGAACATTGTGAGGTTTGGACTATAGCTCCAAGTTATAAGTATAGCTATACAAATAAATGAATGTAGTGATAAGAAATTTAGGGATAGATAAAGCTTTCATCTATATTAAATATGATTCATGGTTATATTATATATTTACTTACATTTAAAACATTTTGTTTTATTTCTAGGATCCCGGGGGGCTTTCTGTGAAGTAAGACCAGATGATAAAAGAATTCTGGAATTTTACAGCAAGTTAGGCTGTTTTGAAATTGCAAAGATGGAAGGATTTCCAAAGGATGTGGTTATACTTGGTCGGAGCCTGTGACATTGGTTGGCACTGTGAACTGTTCAGTCTCTTAACCCCACCTTGTGGTTGGTGGTTGAGGTCTTCGCACAGTTCAGTCGCTGAAGCCGTAACAGATCAGCCAGTTGAATTGGAAACAAAGATGACTGTAGAACTCACCATGCCATGTTCAGACTGCTCACTGGTTGGAAGATAGTACTGCTGCATATCCTGTGGGAAACAGATGTGGTGTGTCCCTCCTTTGGGTCTTGGGTTAGGAGTCAGGACCTCTTATGGGGCTCTGTAGGGATAGGATCTTAAATAAATGTAGTCAGCACTATTTTCTGCATCCAGTGTGGTTGCATTTCTCACCTAAGAGTAATGAAGGCCACTCTTTGTTCTCCTTGGTGCTGAATGAACTGTCTCTGTTCTTTGGAGACATGGCAGGAATGACAAAGAATTAGTGGGGTTCCAATTTGAGGCAATTTTTCTGCTTTTTGTAAAGCTCTGGCTAACTATCTCTGTGATGTTGGTTCAGGCAGTTGTACTTTGTAGGGACAAATGTGCATTTGTTTGTGGCAAAGGCCTAAATTGACAAACATGTAAATTTCTTTGTATATAGACTATAGCTGTAATCTGACTGTTCTTTTTGTTTACTGTTTTTTTTTTCCTTTGAAAATGAAAGGTGTTGGTTTTAGATGGCACTTTGAATAATGTAAACCAGTGGATGGTAGATTTCATGTTTGTCTTCAGAATGCCTCCCACATAGAGATAGGCCACGGCTGTTCGTGGAGATTGTCAGCTTTATAGGACTCAAATCTATTGGGAAGTGCATTACTTCTGAAGGTTAACCTTCATAGCAGATCCGCATGTGAAATGTTCTGACACTGTTGTCAAAGTAAGGGTAAGTAAAGGGACTGACTCAAAAGTGGTCTCTTTTGCCCTTAGAACAGTTGTCATGTTCTCTCAAGACCTGTTAACTACTGGTTTAATTGAATCAGTCTTTAATTCCTGCATGTTTGTATCTAATTTTTAAAAGAAAGAATAAGTATATGTTAACCATAGGTATACTTTTTCTTTTAATCAGAAGTTCAGAAAACTTCATGTATTTTAATTTAGATTTGGTGAATTTAAGGGTTTAAGCATGAAGCTGGCAGATGGTCTCTGCAGGGTTTGTTTTGTTTTTTTTTTGTTTGTTTTGAAATCATGGCTAGCTAGTGTCTTTATAGATTTCAACAGTATTTTGTTATCTTCCCTCTAGTTTTTCATCAGCTTTTGATCTTTGAGCTGAGGGGTGGGGAGAGAGAGAAAAGGAAACTTGAACATTTACTTTTATAGAACTCCAGTGTGAGCTTTTGAGATAGTCTTAAATTTAGCACTATATCTAGTGTACCTAGTGACTTCCAACTGAGGCCCAGGAGAGAGTGCTTACTTAGAAGCCTCTTAGGGTAAAAACCTAATTGTGATAGGCTATGTTGGAAAACTGAAATCAAGTTTGGTTTTGAAGGCTGAGGTGAAGGGCAAAATTGTTACTAGATACTAAGACCATTTATTTAATGTTCCTCACCTATGCCCCAGTGGGAATTACAACCTTTTATTTGGAGGGTTTCAGAATCAGTTTCATACAGAATCAGGAATATTAAACCAGTTGCTTTTTGTTTCATGTTGGCTTTCAATAATCACTTTGAATGATCTGAACATACCTGAAACGTGTCCAGGTTTTTACCATCATCGCTCTAGGATAAAGTGCTGTGCCAGCTTCCATGGTTATGAATATTAAGGTTGGAATACCATTTCATTGATTGTGTGAATCACAGCTCAGTTTCTGTAGAAAACGAACTGTAAAACTATCTGAAGACCATGCAAGAGGCAAAATAAAACTTGAAGTGAATTTGTGTGCTAGTGTATGACTTTTCTCTGCTCTCCCGTCTCTTGATGCCTCAGCCAAGGCAGGCAAGTCTCCCTTCCCAAAGCGATTTCTGTGTAGTCTGGATTTTGAAGACAGCGCTCCCCTCCTGCCTTCCCCAGCAAAGAACTAACTTGCAATTTTTCTCAGAAAGATTCATTTGTCTTTAAGTTGCCCTCTTACTACAGTTAAAATCTGTGAAGTAGAGGGGTCTCTTCTGAGTTTCTGTGTAGGGAGTGCAGGAGTTGTCCTTAGAATGGGGGATACGGGTGTGGGGGTGGGTAGCCTAAGTTATGTGAGGACAGTCCTAAGGATGTGCCTCAGCTAATGGGAAATGGGGCTCCAGGGCGGCTGTGATAGGAACAGCCTCCATCTCCAGCAGGAAGCTCACCTGAGGGCCGCAAAGACGGCAAAGGTGTGGGTGGGAATTCCTGAGAAGGGAACCATGGCTGCTCTGAACAACTTTTCTGGAAGACTTGCCACGAAAGGTGTATTACACTGACGTCGCTACATAGCAACTCCGGGGTGATAGGGAGGGTCTCCGCACGTGATGAGCTAGAGGAAACGAGAGTCCTCAGGACTGTGGGAACGAGTGGACGCATTCTGTGCTTCCCGAAGAGTTCTGAGGCCTTGCTACCTGCTGCGGCTGCGGTGACGGCTGCTCTCTCCCGTGCGGCAGTTCGGGTGCCCGACGCCTCGCTGCGCGCAGCTCCTTTAATGGGCGGGGCCGGAACTGGCCGAGGTGCCGCGTTCGGTGCGTGTGGGGGCGGGGCTTCTCAGGCCGTTTCAGCATGGCCGCCGGCGCTGCCGCTGCTGCTCTAGCGTTCTTGAATCAAGAGAGCCGAGCCCGGGCGGGGGGTGTGGGAGGCCTGCGAGTCCCGGCTCCGGTCACGATGGATAGTTTCTTCTTCGGTACTGAAGACTGGAGTGGCAGAGGGTGGTACGGGGCGAGTGAGATGCTGGGCTGAGGATCGCGGCTGGGCGACGTGGGTGTGGGCCGAGGGTTCCTCGCTTCCCTAACCCTGCCCTCCGCGGCCTGCACGGCCCAAGGAGGACGCCCACCCAGGTGTTTTAAGGAAGAAATGTTCAGCGAATGAAAGGCCGGTCAGCCCGCGGCGGCACGTGGCCGGGTGGGCGGGTTCGGCGGGGTTGGAGAAACGCTCTCTCACGCGCTGTCCTCCACGCGCGAACGGCTCACGCCAACGCCCTGGCTCTTGCAGGTTGTGAGCTCTCCGGCCACACCCGCTCCTTCACTTTCAAGGTTGAGGAAGAGGAGGATACGGAACACATGCTGGCATTGAACATGGTAAGGGGCTGGAGATGCAGGGAGCTAGGGGACATCTACCTGTCTCCCCGCCCCCCCACCCCTGGGTTGGGAGTCACCTATGGTTCCCCCTCTCTCTGCGTGCCTCCGAGTCTGGGTAGGTTTTAGGGTAGCATGTCATTTGAGACTCTGAGGTTCTGTACGCACTTCCAGCTGTGCCTTACCGAGGGGGCCAAGGACGAGTGTAATGTGGTGGAAGTTGTGGCCCGGGATCACGACAACCAGGAGATTGCAGTCCCTGTGGCCAATCTCAGGTTATCTTGCCAGCCCATGGTGAGTTGCAGCCGTCCATGCATTGGAGTACGGTGGGACACAATTGAGAACTTCAGTGTGAATCCAAGATGGGTGAGTGGGTCAGAGTGGATCAGGCTTTCATCCTTGTCTTCCAGCTCAGTCTGGATGATTTCCAGCTCCAACCACCTGTAACCTTCCGCCTGAAGTCGGGCTCTGGGCCTGTGCGCATCACTGGCCGGCATCGGATTGGTGAGAAGAGCGAGCGGGCCCTCCCATCCTGCATCCCAGATGGTGGTTCCAGGACTCAGAGCCTTTCACTGTCCCAGCGATGTGGGCAGGCTCCTTGTTTGTTTGTTGTTTGTTTTCTTCGTCTCCGGCTTAGTATCTGGCGTTCTTCCCTTCTAGGCTGACGGACTCTGGAAGAAGGAGTCGCTGTCAGCCTAGCACTGCAGGGAATTGAATAAGTGGCGTGGGGACGGTTGGCCCTGACCTCCCGCCCGTGCTGTGTCTCCCCACCAGTTTGTGTAAACAATGATCTTTCCGAAGAAAGCGAGGACGATGAGAGCGAGGAGGGGGAAGTTAAGCTGTGTGGCATCCTTCCTGCCAAGAAGCACAGGGGCAGGCCCTAGCCCGCCTTGGTGAGTCAGGGGAACTGGAGTTAAGGGGGCAGCCAGCGGAGGCTCAGGCACTGACTTCTTACTTCTTTCCCCAGGTTAGGCTGCTGCTTGCTAGAGGCGACACGCACCGCACTGTGTGTTCCTGGACGAGTTTCAAGACTTGTAAACGTTCTTGTTGAAGAGGAGAGTTGGGAAGGGGCCGGTGGGAGGGACTTGGACTGGTGCCAAGAGAACTGGCATTCTCCATAGGCCCTGTGTTTGCTCCTGCAGGTTGCCCGAAGCTTAGCCTTTTCTATTGGGGTGGGATGACCTTTGAACATCTCTCCTGACCCCCCCACCTGCCCAGATTGAAAGTTTTGTGAACCCCCAGGTTCAGTTCTCAGCACTGCAAAAAAAAAAAAATGAAGTTCAGAATAACACGTTTTTAACACTTTTTACATTTTTAGATAAAGATCTAAATAAAGTGGTGTGTGGTTGTTTTGCAATTCTTGTGTGGCTTTTTCCGACCATGAGGTTTCCCAAGGGACCACAAGGTGGCACTGTGGCAGCACGAAGCGTGGTCCCTGTTCTAGGGCTGGTGAGAAAACGTGACCTCCTAGTCCCCAGGGCCTTGGGCCAAAAGTGGGCCCAAAGTCCCTTGTCCTTGCAGCAGAGGGACCTCCCGTTCCAGCCTACTCGGTGTCCCTGCAGGTGGGGGAGGGCCATCGCAGGAGGTTATCAGCTTCCAAACAAGGGGTCTGGGCCTCTGTCAGCACTCAGGCTGATGGGCAGAGAGGGACAGATAAGTGGGCTTAAGAAACCTGAGGAATGTGCATCCCTAGCCCCATGAGGGACTCGGCCCAGGGAGAGGGCCTGTGAGGGGTGGGGTTGGGACCCGTCTTGGCTCTTTGGTCTTTGAGGCAGGTTGAGTAGAGCAGGGTCCTTAGAAACCTGATTCCCAGGGCCAGATGGAGGGAACTAGCCAGATTGGGTGACAGGGAAACCAGAATCCGGGTGGCCTGGCATATGGGGGCAGAAGGGAGCTCCTGGGAATCAGACCCCTGGGCTGAGGGGTTATTACCTCCCAGCGCTCCACACTGTCTCGCCCCTAGAGTCGAGTGTTTGTATGCCAGGAAGAGAAAAGGGGTTGCTTGCGTGAGGACTGTGTGCACCCAGCTCTGGGGTCAGCAGTTCAGCTATGTTGGGGGGGGGGGTCAATGCCCTACAAACAAACAAAAAGGTTACTTCCCCAGACAGGCTGAAGATGGACAGAGAACAGGACACGAGAGAATCAGGCCAATTCACACCAGCTGTCCAACAAGTAGGAGGCCTCCCGATAATACCGAGAGGCTGGCTGGGGCCAGGTGGTCCACTTCAAGAGTGTCCCCACAGTATAGAAAGCAGTGCCTAACCCAGGTGTGGTAGCACATGCAAAACTTGGGAAGACCAAACAGTAAAACAGGCCAGCCTGGGCTCCAGGGGTGTAGGCATTAGGAGGAGAGGGAAGAGGTACCTCCTGGTCCTACAACTTTTTCCTTGGCTATGTGAAGAGTTAGGTGTAAGTTTTCAACCTCCCTTTCTCAAGTGGAAGACAAAAGACGCTCTTCTGTGCTTCCAGGATCAGGGTCTCCAGCCCAGGACCTAACCTCCAGGTGTTTCCACCACCGACCCTGCTAGGAGTCATTCGTGGAGAGTCTCGAACTGGAGCGGAAGGCAGAACTAGCGCCCTCTGGTGGGCTTGCTTAAAATTGCTTGTGGCACGCTCCCTAGGGGCTAACGCCCGATAAGTTTAAGGCAGACTAGGCGGGAGTAAGTCACTAAATTTTGAATGCGTATACGCTTTCATTTACACGAAATACTAGAAGAGAGGAGTTAGTTGGTGGTATTCTCTTCTGCTTCCTTTCGGCTCCTTCCAACCCGTGGGTACGTGCATAAGTGCAGACACTAGCCTCCACTCAGCTACGCCTTACTCATACCCCCCCCATCAGTGTCTACCCCCTGTGACTCCGCTGATCGCCCATTGTATTTCTCGCCTGTTTTCCCAGTGGATCTCCCGGTGGGTGAACTACGAGCAGGGTTCTGCCCGCAGTGGGAGCCCAATCCACATTTGCCTTCTAGTTCAGGAGTCTCCCGGCCCCTTGTGGCGCGGCGCAGACAGACTTGGGAATTGTTTTTCCCTCCTTCCAGATCACACCTTTTCAGGGTATCCCTTTTCTGCACTCTAAGCACACAACAGGAGTGCTTGCCAATTCTCTGGCCTCAGACAGCTTGCAGGATGTAGGCATAGGATGAAGAAAACGTGAAAGGGGCTACACGGTATTGGGAGAGGGTATGAAGAACGGTGGCTCTCGGTCTTGGAGCAAAGTGGCTAACGCAGTAGCGGGGATTTGCATCTGAACCACCCGAATAGATTTGAAGGCTGAGCACAGGAGTCGCTTCAACCTGCAGGCGTGGTGGCCTGGGTGTGGATTTGAGGAGCCTGTGGCCAGGCCAGGGTTGAGGCTGGGTCCTGGCGAGCGCATGTTTGCAGAGAGGGCCGTTTGTGTTGGCAAAGAGTGTGTGTTTGTGTTTGCAGGAGGGAGTGTGTGCATGTGTGTGTTTGTGTTTGTGGAGTGTGGGGGCGGCCGGGAAAGGTGGCCAGGCTGTCACTCAGAGATCAGGATGACAGGCGCTCCCTCATCTAGGCGCGGGAGCTCTGATTGCAGATTCAAGGAAACAAAATAGCAATTGTAATTACGGGGCTTTGATAAGATAAAGGAAGGAGGGAGCTGGCCGGGAGGCAGGCTAGCAAGGGAGGGGGGGGAGAATGGCCTGCGGGAGCCCTGTGAAACATTTGCATCTGTCAGTCACTGCCTGCTCTGGGTGCTGACTGTGGGGGGGACCCATCTATCCTTGCCCCCCAAAGACACGGAAATTTGGGGACACTAAAAGAAGCCTGACGATCTGGGCGATGCTCCATCCAGTTCCTAGGACTTTCCACATGTAAAAGAATTTGGTCTTCTCAGAGGTGGGAGACAGAGATAGAAAGTAGGAGTAAAACCCTTCTCTGGGACCCTTGTCTGGGGGAGGGGTTCTGGTGTCTGCTGAGGGCGGGGGAAGTGACACTGGTGATGGTGGATCACTAAGGTTCAGCTGTGGAGGCTACGCAAACATGGTGCCAGTCAGACGCTCCACCTGTACATACACACTGGGAGCTGGGACCCAGGCTCTGCTGGCAGCCTGGTTCCCCTGATTCCTACCTGTCCCTCACTCGTGTTTTCGGAGTGCTGTGTTCATAGTGGGGAGAGGGCCCTTCCTTCTCAGGAATCTATCCATTTGTTTAGGCAGTCACTCATTAGCACATTAAAAAATAAACACTCTTGAGGGCCTCTTATCCCAAGCACATGAAGTAAAGTCGGTGGGCAAACGGACATCACCTTTGCCAGCTTGGAGCACCACAAAATGGGGCAGACAAGTCGCCCCAAGGCCCCTTGGCAAAGCACACAGCGAAAGGAAAGGTCTGGCCTTTATTGCGGTCACTGGAGTCCCTCAGACCTATTTTCCCCTTTGTGGACTTAACATCCCAGCGGGGTTGAAAGGAGCTATCGCCTACCAAATTATTACTAGACACCAGTGTGCAATAACTAGTCCGCTCGGCTATCATCTGTTGGCAAGTGAAGCCAAGTCTCCTTGGGAAAGTCACCATGGATGAAATGCAGTCTAAATGCTCAGCAAGGTTTCCCCATCCATCCACCCAACAAATGCTCACTACCTGCAGAGTGACTCAGACAGCTCTGCCATGAGCTGCAAGTCCTAGGGAGTCCCTTGCCTTCAGGTCTGTGGGGATCAGAATTCCTGAAGGCAATCACAAATGAGCTCGGGAAGTCTACTTTTCTGAGGAGGCTGAGAGGGACCCCCGGCACCCCATACTATATATCGCTGAGTGCTTGCAGGGCTAGCCAGACTCCCGGGGAGTCGCCCTTCTATGGGGAAAGATGGGATACAGAAAAGGGAGAGGCGGGCAGAACTGGAGTGTGTTGATTGACAAGGACCTGCTTGCTTCCCTCTGGCCTCTGGAGGCTTCCTAGGGCCACCAGAACCTCTAGCTCTACCCTAGAGAGACACAGGATCAGAAGAGAGTAGGCTGTGGGTGAAGGCAGCAGCTGGGTGGCCATCAATGGAACGGGTGGTTCCTCTGCCTCTCCAGGTTGTGCCTACAGAAACTAGGCAGTGACTCGGGGTTCCCAGAAACCCCATGAAGAAAGCAGTGAGGTGAGGGGCTGGGAAAGGCTTACAAGAGTCTACCTTCTCCCCAGCACCCCTCTGCCTTCCCGCAGCCGGCACAAGACCCCAGATACCTGCTCAAGGAAAACGTCATGGAACTCAGAGGGGAAAGGCTAGGGAGCTTGGGTCCAAGTCCTCGTTCCTCAAGTAGAGTCGCCGAATGTAGCTATTTTGGCCCTTGTTAATTGCTCAGTTTTAGAAGGGGGACAGTGACTGCGGGTGCTGCCGGGACCTCTGGGCTCCTACCACATAGATGCCTGGAGGTTCCTTTCACCCTTCAGGCTAGTGGGGGTGGGGTCGGGATGGACGGGGGCAAGGTTGATGGTGATAATGGGGTGACAGGAGGCATTTCTCCCTCCCAGGGCCTCCTTGGAGACTGTGAGACACTAAGTCAGCAGGCTAGTTCTTAGAAAGGTGGAGGAGCGGGTTCCTGTGACGCTCTGCACAACTATTCATTCCACTGTTAGCTGCCGCTTCCATAAGGGGGCAAGTGCGGCCGAAGCACACAGTAGGCGACTCAAAAACCGGCGAGGAGGCCAGATACATAAGTAGACCCGGCCCCACGCGGAGAAATAACCTTGTCGGCCTCAAGCGCACCGGACCCCCACCAAAAATGCTGTCCCAGGCGCCCCCCATTCCTGGGCCACCCCGCCCCAGGAACGCTGGAGGAGACAGGCAAGGGTAGTGGGAGGCGCCCACACCGGCCGCCCCCGCCCCTCCCGCGGGTCCCCAGACCCCTCCCCTGGGCCAGACCCCCAATCCCAGCCCTGCCCGCCGCCCCGCCCCGGGCCGCCCCGCCCCCGCCCCGGGCGGCGACCCGGCCCCAGCGCCCAGCCGGGGGTGCGGGCTCCGGCCGCCCGCCCCGCACTCCCCCCTCGCGGCCGGTGCGGCGCCCCCCGCCCCTGCCCTCCCCCTCCCTCCCCACCTCCCCACCCACCCCGCAGGCCCGTTACCCTCCCGCCTGCTCCGGCTCCTGAGCAGCCAGCGGCCACCGGCTCCGGCAGCGGCGCAGAGCGGATCAGCGCGCGCGGCGAGCACGACATTCCACGGGACCCGCCGAGTCGCGTCGGCATCTTCGCCGGGCTCCAGCACCCCGACCTTCCTCGGCCTCCGCCCCTTCGGCTCGTCCCCCCGCGGCCTCCTGTGGGACGGCGTGACCCCGCCCGGGCTCTCGGTGCTCCCGGGGCCGCGCGCCATGGGCAGCCCCCGCTCCGCGCTGAGCTGCCTGTGAGTACCGCGGTCGTCCCCGCGTCCCCGTCGGCCGGCGCCCGCCGCGCCCTCTCCGCTCACCCCGCGCCTCTCTCCTGCCCGCTTTTGTCTCCCACAGGCTGTTGCACTTGCTGGTTCTCTGCCTCCAAGCCCAGGTAAGGAGCGCTGCGCAGAGGCGGGGGCCGGGCGCGGGGGACCCAGCTGACACTGTCGGGCAGGGACACGAGGACCGACCCTTCGGCCAGCGCAGCAGGGCTGGAAAGAACCTTACAAATCCAGCCCCAAACTACCCCGAGGAGGGATCTAAGGAACAGAGAGACAGTGTCCTGCCTAAAGTCACACAGCGAGTGAGTGGAGAGACTTTAGAACCCCAGGGTCTTGAGCCCAGCGAGTCTCAAACGCGTGCCAGCCAGGTCGGGTGGATGGGAACTTTACCTGTAGCCACACCTGGCCTCCTAGGAAGGCGGGAGCTGGAGCCAGCGGGTGTTCCTTGTCAGGGGAAGTTGGGACGAAGTTGCAGCAAAGATCTTCTCCGCTGCTCCCTGGGGAGACTGGTGGCCGGTTTCGGCCAGCGATCGTGTCAGTCTAGGAGCTTTGCACTCTCAACATTTGCTCCGTAAATTTGTCTTTATAAATGTCACGGGTCGGGTAGCGTTGCCTCGCTACTTAAAAGCACCCTGCTCCTCTAGGAAGGCCCGGGCGGGGGGCCTGCGCTGGGCAGGGAGCCCGCTTCCCTGCTCCGAGCTGGCCGGGAGCCCCAGGGTGTTTCCCAACAGGTGGGTCCAGATTCTCCCTCATCCCGGGTTCATCCATCCTGGGCTGGGTCTGCGCGACTTCCCCGCGGGGGTTGGTGGCCTGAGCCAGCATGTTGGGGGGAATGCCCCCAATCCCTGCTGGCTGCCTGGCGCGGCGGGAGGTGGGCACAAGGGCAGTGGGGACCACTCGGGACCCCTGGGCGGAGTAGCATTATAATGGCGTGCTGTGTATTTTTCAATTTCCTAAAGGTAACTGTTCAGTCCTCACCTAATTTTACACAGCATGTGAGGGAGCAGAGCCTGGTGACCGATCAGCTCAGCCGCCGCCTCATCCGGACCTACCAGCTCTACAGCCGCACCAGCGGGAAGCACGTGCAGGTCCTGGCCAACAAGCGCATCAACGCCATGGCAGAAGACGGAGACCCCTTCGGTAAGGCGCATTCCCCGGAGCCTGGGGAGGAAAGGTAGTGGACCTCGCTGCTCCCCGCCAGCCCCGGCTGCCGTGGCCAGGGAGGCCTGCGAGCTCCCCAGCTGCGAAGGGAAGGAGTTAAGGCTAAAAGGTGCCTTGAGGGTCAGCTGGAGGGAATTGTAGGGAAGGGACCCTGGGGAGGATGTGGCCCACAGGTACCCTCTCTTCCCTACTCCGCAAATGAACGAACCCAGGAGTCTCCCTTACAACCGCCCCCCTCCCATACACCTCTTTCCAGCTGCAGGTGGAGGCAGAGGGTCAGGGGAGGGGGCCCAGATTTAAGGGAAGTTCTTGAAAGAGGATATGTCGCCAGGGCCCACAAAAGGAGAGTGGGAGAAGGAAGGTCCAGAAAGCCCGGGTTTGCCCAGCTTGGAAAGGGGGCTGCTGCACACTGATCAGTGGGGTCAGTTACACGGGAGGCGAGGCCTGGAAGTTAGACTCCCAGCTCCGCCTGTGGATACCCCGGGGGCCTGAGTTGGCTGGCAGCTCCCTGTAGGGTTGCTGAGTACAGGGAGCTACTGGGGCAGGGACTGAGGACTGACTGATTTCCAGAACATTCAATATTCCTGTCTTGAGATGGGGCCAGTTTCCAGAGTCCTGGATGGACCACGAGGAAGGCAAACCCTCTGGGTGGCTCGTGTTGTTTTTAGAGAGTGGTTATTGTGAGTTTAAAAACCTTTAAATAATGACCAACTTAAACAAGCTTGAAAGGAGAAAGGAAGACACTATTAATGTGTAATAAAAAGGTGAGGCATTTTAAGAGCTAAGAAAAATGAAGAATGATATAAAACAGAAAAAGAGCCAGGCCCCCTCCTTTTTTTTAGACGTAGAGTTTAAAAGGAGTTGCAAGTCTGTAAATGTTAAAAAAAAAAAAAAGGCTAAAGATTGTTCTCTAGGAATCTCGAGAGAGACCCCTGCGTCTGGCAGAGCGATTAAAACTCTTCTTGCTTTCACCTTTTTTAACATTTCCTGAATACTTTCTCCTCTTCTCGAGCCAGTTTGGGGGATCGAGCATGTCTTGCTGCATTTTTTCAGCTTCGACGTAGCTGACTTGCCTTCAAAGCTGGAGGAGGAGACATAATTTTCCTGGGATAAATCTGTCACTGGGGTGGGAGAATGGGTTTGAAAATGTTCAGCTTTCCAAAAGCCTGGTTGGGAGACCCGCTGTAAGCTGCGTGGCTAGACTCCCCAGATCTGTCCGAGGAGAGTGGGGGCTCTTTGGGCGGCGGGGGGGGGGGGCAGCCTGCCTGGTGGCCGAGCTCCCCCGCTGGGCTGGCAGAGCCAGCCTTCAGGCCCTTTGTCCCTCCAAATTGGCTGCTTGCTGCCCTTCTCAGCTTCCCAACAAGAAAAAGGAAAGAATGGTTGCCCTGAGTTTACTCTACTGGAGCAAATGGCCCAGCATCCTTGGGTTTTTGGGGTGGGAAGGGGGAACCTTGCTGGCAGTGATGGAATTGGTCTTCAGGCATCAGAAGAGGGTTGATGCCCACTCTCTTCCCTCAAGACCCAGAGGAGGCTCCCAGGGTTCCTTGGTCTCTGCCTGCAGGGCAGTAGTTTGGGTCTGGGGCTCCAAAAACAGGCATTAGGTATACAGACTGGAGAGAGCGCTGGAGAGCCCTAAGAAAGGGAGGGAGGTACCCCACTCTGTCATATGATGCTGGGCTGGAATCTTCAGAGCAGGGTCCTCTCACCCCTTCCCTAGCCCGAGCGCATCCTTCCCTGGTCATGAAGCAACTGCTTCTTGCTCTACCAAGTAGGCACGATATAACGAACAGATTGCCTGGGTCTGAGGAGAGGTGAAAGGTTGCATTTCCCAGCTGACTTGGGGGCAGACTGGGGACTTCCTGGTCCCACTCTCGTGCCTATGTGAAGAGAGGGGGAGTTAGAGGCTAGGCTGTATGAGGACTTCATTGATAATCTCGATGCTCCCATCCCTGGTATTGGTTTTGGGGAGAGAGAGAGACATGTCAAGACGGAATTGCTTTCTCAGGGAGGAAAAGGGCTGGGCTCTGTAGCAGGGCGTTCCAGTCCTCTGCCCTATCTTCTCATTCAGTCCTTCCTCTCTTCTTGGGAACAGTCTCTAAGAGAACAATTACATAAAGGGATGGTCAGGACCAGCCTCTCAGGCAAGTTGGCCGACTCCATGAGTGGGAAGTAGGGAAGGGCACAGAATTTGGCCCCAGGCTTCTGTCACCTCTGAAGGCATTTGGCCAGTGCCTAAGAAGCCCGGCTGTGTTGGAGAGAAAAGAGTTGGTGGTGCCTACATGTTGGAGCTGGGCTCTGAGGACCGGGAAGCTCCGGGAAAGGGGCAGGATTCTCCTGGCTGGTGTCTGGCTCCAGAAAGCTGTTTTCTAAAACAGTGCTGGAAGAAACACCTCCTCCTCTTCTAACACTCATTCTAAACCGTGTGTGTGTGTGTGTGTGTGTGTGTGTGTGTGTGTGTGTGTGTGTGTGCACACGCATGCAAGTGTCCGCAGAGGTCAGAAGAGGGTGGTGGATCCCTGGAGCTGGAGTTGCAGGCAGTTGTGAGTTGTGAGTCTTCAGAAGTGAACTCCTGTCCTCTACAAAAGCAGAAGACTGAACCGGTTCCCCAACTGCTCTGTTACAGCTTGAAGAGCACGGCTGCCCAAGGGGTGGACGGATGGCCAGGGCCACTAGAACTGAAGGGGCAGGAACAGAACAAGATGGCTTCTTACCTTTGGCCTCATGGTGGGAGGTCACCACTGTCCCCAGATGTTCTTAATGATCTGTGGGGCTTGAGCTCATGATGGTCTAAGTTGGAAAGATACTCAGAGATCTCTTAAGTTAGCTATGGATCTACACAAATGAAGTTTTACTTGGTACCTCAACCTAATAATATGACTTCTAGCATGAAAGAGAGCTAAAGGAACGGAGATTTGGGCTTCTCAATTTGCCGCATCCGAACAGGTGCTTGCAAGCTGTGATCTGTCCTAGGTCTTTCGTGAGTCCAGAGGTGAAGTCTAAGGTCCTGAAAAGAGACTTCATCTTCCTTGGGGGCTGCCCAGGGCATCTGTGGACTGGGGCCAGAGCCTGTGTTTTCTGTTCCTGGCCCTTGGAGCCGTTGTTCCAGGGATAGGACACAGCCCTGGGCCAGCCGTCTGGGGTGAAGCTTTGGAACACAGGGGTTACAGATTTAGTGACCATCTCATAACTTCCCCGACAGCAAAGCTCATTGTGGAGACGGACACTTTCGGAAGCAGAGTTCGAGTCCGTGGAGCAGAGACAGGGCTCTACATCTGCATGAACAAGAAGGGGAAGCTAATTGCCAAGGTGAGGTTCCAGAAGGGAAGTGAGGCTCAGGAGCGGGACTGGACTGACTGAGCCTCTGTAGTGCACTTTAATCTCTACAAGGTGGGTGGAGAGGCATGGTACCTTGGTTACCTTAGGGTTTGTCTAACGATTAGATGGAGGAGTAAGAGAGAAGTAAAAAGCCAGAGAGAGGAAAAGCTATGAACGTGAAGGAGGAAGGCTAGGAAAAGTGTTGGGGGTGGTGATGGCAAATTCCATATATCTTTTTAACAAATCGCCAAATTGCTTTGCTATTATGTCCAATTACATGGTACCAGCATTTGGAATGTTCAGTAAGCCGCAGGCCCAGCCCCTCGGCCTAGCTCTGAAATGGCCCCATTAGTCACGGCTCCTCTCCAGCCTCAAGCTCCCCTCTCCTAGGCTTCATGGCCTGGGCCTCCAAGTCCCTCCCAGGCCTCCCCTCCCCCGCATAGGGTGGCTGTCCTGGAGGCTGATCCTGAGTCCCGAGATGCTGAGGGGGGCAGGTGGAGAAACGCGAGCAGGCCAGGCCAGACTGGTGGGCAGTAGGCCAGAACGGGCAGGCTTTGGGCCCCTCTGCCTCGGGCCCAGCCCCTCCGTGGACAACCATGTGTCACTGCTGCCCAGGAGGACAGGAAGTTGCCGGGTGGGCTGCGGGTTGTGAGGGATTAGAGAGCGGGTGCCCGGGTAGGGGGTGGGGCCGGCTCGGGCTCCCCTCGCCATCTGCTGGGGTGCCCACCTGCTGTCTGGGGCCGCTGCCCCTCTGTCTCACACGGAGGGAGGCTCCATAACACCACGTCTGTCCCCCACAACTACCTGCAGAGCAACGGCAAAGGCAAGGACTGCGTGTTCACCGAGATCGTGCTGGAGAACAACTACACGGCCCTGCAGAACGCCAAGTACGAGGGCTGGTACATGGCCTTTACCCGCAAGGGCCGGCCCCGCAAGGGCTCCAAGACGCGCCAGCACCAGCGCGAGGTGCACTTCATGAAGCGGCTTCCCCGGGGCCACCACACCACCGAGCAGAGTCTGCGCTTCGAGTTCCTCAACTACCCGCCCTTCACGCGCAGCCTGCGGGGCAGCCAGAGGACTTGGGCCCCGGAGCCCCGATAGGCGCCCTCCCGGCCCCTCCCTGCACCGCCGGCTGCGGACTCCAGAGAGAGATCAATGGGCCAATGGGCTCTGCGAAGGGGAGGAGCTGGGGAGCTGTCTTCTAGTTGTGGATATTGTTTGCTGTTGGGTTTTGTTTTTTGTTTTTGTTTTTTAACAAAAGAGAGGTTCTATTTTTGTATTCCACTTGCTGTGGTGTCTGTTTTCTTAACTCTCAGGAAAGCCCCTTGGTGACCTGAGACAGGGTTCCCGTGGGGCTCCCTAGGGTGGGTGGAGGGCTCTCTAGTCTGGCAGACGTTGTCCTGAGGTCTCAGCAATGACAGGGCACCTGGCCAGGTCAGCCAGGGCCACTCTGAGCCCCGGGCAGGTTCAGGGAGCAAAGGATTGGGCCTAGGTCAGTCCCTTAGGGATGGGTGTCAAGGGGGTGGCCGTGTACTAGTCACTATTAAATGACTGAGGTGTTTATTTCACTTGCACATTAGAAATGGGTGTGGACAGTGAGTCCTGCCAGGGATAGCCCCTTCCCATGGTGCTGTCCCAAGGGCGGGTCCAAGGCCACCCGCCGTCTAAGGACTTCCTGTGAGCCAGCTTCTCCTTAACTCCACTGCTTTCGTGGGGAAAACAGAACAGGGAGGAAAAATGGAAAGATTCTTAGGGGGCCTTGGAGCTCTCAGATGGGGACCACCTTGCTCTACTAACACTCTCCAAGCCCAGGGCCAAAAAGAACAAGCTGAAGCCCTCTGTAGTTGAAAACCCCTTTGACTGTAGATCTAGTCAGACCATAGAACTGGCCATAGTTTATAGAATCTGACTCCCCAAACTGAAATACCAGCTGCCCAATGTCCAAGATGTGTTGGGGGGCTTCCCAGTGTCCAAGGTGTATTGGGGGATTATCCAATGTCCGAGGTGTATTGGCGGGCTGTCCAATGTCTGACTGTGTTGGGGGGCTGTCCAATGTCTGAGGTGTGTTGGGGGTTGTCCAATGTCTGAGGTGTGTTGGGGGACTGCCCAATGTCTGAAGTGGGGGGGACACCCAATGTCCTGGTGTGTCTGGGGGCTGCCAAGGCTGGTGTTGACTATTGTAATATGGAATGAAGTTAACTTGGGAGATCCAGTCCAGAGCTGTGCACAGAAAGTGCCAGGTTCAGGTGCTGGAAAGCCTAGGGCACAGTTGTTCAGGAAGAGGCCAATCTGGGCTTATGGGTCTTCGGGAAGACGAGCCTGGCATGGGCAAGAGTAGGAGGGGTCTCTGGGATGTACATCATGGCATGCCAAGCAGGACGCCTGTGCCCACAGGTGGCCCACTCTTCACAACTCAGGCCTTCCATCCTGGCTGTTCCTATAGCCCAGCTACTAGGACAGTCTGGAAACTTCCCTGTGGGTCTCATTTTGGCACCTTACTTGGCATGGGTTGGGACATTCCAGAGTTATAGCCCAAGTCCCAAGCGCAGCTTTTCCAGGTGGATCAGGGTTGCCTGAAACAGAGGTTGGGGGTCTTGGTTCCTGTGTATCTTATCCAGGGCCTCAGGAAAGAGTGAGGGCCTCTGGGTAGAATGTGCATAGACACTCGGGGTGTGGGGAAGGGGCTCCAGCTAGTTCTCTTCCAGCTCCCCCAGCTCCTAGTGCCCGGTCCTTTGCTCCCCTCCCCCTTTAATTAATTCTGGGTGAGCAGCCTGGCTTTATTGTGCGAGGAGCTGGGGTCTCACTGTGGGAAAAGTCACACCTTCTGAGCAGCTTCTGATGCCATGCAAATGAAGAGACCGTCCAGGAAACGCTTTCATCTGCACGGTCGCCTGTCCAGCCCCCAGCCCAGTAATTACCCACATTTCATTTGTTTGAGAGCAATTCCTGGGGAAAACCACGGAGTGGGAGGGAGTCTAGAGGGTGATGGAATGTCAGGCTCTCCGCCTGTGATCCCAGCTACAAAGTGAGGCCTGGCTGGGCCAAGGGTGGTCGGTGGCTAGGCCAAAGCTAAGCCTCAAGCCTCTGGGCTGGGGAGCACCTGAGTCTTCAGCCGCACCGCTGGAAATGAACTGTGTTTGCATCTAGGTAGAAGAGGTGAACACGCAGAGGGTGAGACCTGCCTTCTGCAGAGGGGTGGGCAGGAGGGTGGGAATCTGCTGAGGCTGCCTGCCTGCCACTTTCCCCCAGGCCAGGGACCCATGGGAGCTGAGCACAGAGCAGTAGGATGAAGCCGGGCTGGAGCACCCACCAATTTGTTTATCTTTGAGTCGCTGCCGCCACAGAGCCCTCGCTAATGGGGTTTTACAGCCCACTCAAGCTACAACTGGCCAAGAATCAATCATTACCACACTTAGTGGTTTGATAGTTAACAGCCTGAACTGAAGCCAAACTGGTTGTTAACTGTGATAGCAACTGGTTTCAAGGGGTTATTGCCGGCCCAATATGCTCAGCCATTTATTTTGGGGAAAACAAGCAGGACACCACAGCAAGGCCCAGAAAAGGGAGAAGACAGATCACTGTGTCCCTGGGTCAGCGCTAGCAAGGCCTGAGGTCTGTGTGGAGGCTAACCACCATCGCTGCCTGAGGTCTGTGTGGAGGCTAACCACCATCGCTGCCTGAGGTCTGTGTGGAGGCTAACCACCATCGCTGCCTGAGGTCTGTGTGGAGGCTAACCACCATCGCTGCCTGAGGTCTGTGTGGAGGCTAACCACCATCGCTGCCTGAGGTCTGTGTGGAGGCTAACCACCATCGCTGCCTGAGGTCTGTGTGGAGGCTAACCACCATCGCTGCCTGAGGATTGTCTATGGCTGCTCCATTCCAGGTCCTGCCTCGATTCTTCCTTTTTTCACAGGTCCACTTTTTTAATGGGGTTTCATGTAACCCGGGCTGGCATGGGCCTCATGGAGCAGCTCCTGATGTGCCTCTCAAGCACCGTGTGCTCCCATGAGGCCCTCACGGGGAGAAGCCCAGCTTAGTGACCAGCAGGTAGGGCTGGACCCCTCACCTGGGGTTCCCAGAGCCATGCCAAGTCTAACTCAGATACTTGCCTTTCAGTCAAAGTCACCGAAGACCCAACCCAGGTCTTGGCTGGAAGGAATGAATGGGCTCTCTCTCCTCCCACAGCAACATGAACACCACACATTCTAGAATGCTGCTCTGGCAAAGGACCTCAGGGCTTCTCCACTCTCTCCAGATGGACAACCTGAGGCTCGGCAGGACACACAGAGTGTGCTAGAACATTTCCAGGGACAGCCTGCCTCTTGAGGACTTGTAGATCTCACCCTAATGCCATATATTCAGTCACTAAATATTTACTGCATGCCTATTATATGCCCAACTCTATTCTGGGCAAAGGGGATAGAGCAGGAAATAAAAAAAAACCAAAAAAAAACAAATAAAAAAAAAACCTGAAAAATCCCCATTGTTTAGTGCTCAACTTCTAGAGGGAGGCAGGAGGGGCTCCACTAACAGGACAGAGTATCAGACACAATTTCAGGGCAGGGAATGAGTGTGAGGAGGGTGACTGGCATAAACAGCATGATCAAAGGGCTCTGGCTGATGACTTCGTGTTTGAACAGACACCTGTTGGGGCGAGGCTGTCGGGTGGGGGAGGGGCACCCAGGTAGGAGAAGAGCTAGCTGAAAAAATAGAGGACCCAGGAAAGACAGCAGTGTGTCTAGAACACGGGCTAGGGAAGACAGAGGGGTGTGCGGGTGAGGGCGTTGGAGGAGGCTAGAACGCTGAGTTGAGACCAGAGAGCCGGCGAGGCATCGGTGGAGGGCGGGGGGTCACGCAGGGTTTGATAGGAAGGTACCCCGTGGTGAGGTTAGAGCAGTGGAGTGACGGGATGTGAGGGCAGGTTTTAACAAGATTGCTTCGGCTGCTGTGTTAAGAGTAGACAGTGGGGGGCAAGGGAGACAGAGCTACAAAGCGGCAGGGAGAAGCCAAGTGATTGATAATCGTGGATTGGGAGAGGCGAGAAGCCATTGGAATTTGGTGGGGTTTTTTGTTGTTTTTTTGTTTGGAGAGGGGCAGGTAGAGATGGCAGGATGTGCAGGTGGATTTGGATATGGTTAGGGTAGGAAGGCAAGGTGGCTGGCTGAGTGCGCCTGAAGGCTTGAGCAACTGAGAGATGGAGGATTCCACGTGGGGCCACTTTAACGGAAGGATTGGGAGTCTGAGTTTCAGCACGGGAAGTTTGAGCTGATTCAGTTTTCCAGAAGAAGCAGTGAGTGGGCAGCTGCTTGAGACTGGAATTCCTGGATGAGGTCTCGTTCTCGGGACGTAACAGACGACACGGACGATGTGCAAAGCTGGTAGACAGAATGGAATCTGAGGGAGTGGGCGCTGAAGGAGTAAGGAGTCTCAAGCCGCAGTGCTTCTTCAGGGGAGAGGGGACATGGACAAAGATGGAGGAAGGGCGTGGCCCGAGGGCTGGTAGGAACCCCAGAAGACTGCATCTCCAGATGAAGCAGGAGAAAGAGCAGCATCGGAGTCTGCAGCTGTTAGTGAGGTTAGGAGTTCTATTGTCTGTCTGCCTCCTCTACCCTTACCAAACCCAGAGCCAGGATGTGAGGCCCGAAACAGGAACTACTTCATCTGGATTCTTTCAACAAACTGAGTTCTGCCTCACTTGAGTCCTTCGGGCTTCACTTCCAGAACATCTTCTGAGACAGTCCAAACAACGCCCTACTGATCGGTTGCTGCGACCCGGCTCCAAACCGCCACTCTCTACCTTTCTTTTTGTCTCACCATGTAAGGTGGTGACTCACCACATAGACCAAGTTGACCTTGAACTCACGGAGACGCTCCTGTCACTGTCTCTGCCTCCCAAGTGCTGGGATTAATGGCAAATGCCACCATATCTGACGGCCACCTTATTTATTTGTTTTGAGACAGGGCCTCTGACTGAACCTGGGCTTGCTGTTTTAAATAGACTAGTTCGCCACCTAGCTCCCAGGATCTACGTGTCCCTGCCACCACTCTCGGTCCTGGGTGCCAGGCTTGCACCACTGTGCCTGGCTTTCACATGGGTGCTGGGGATCTGAACAGCAAGTACTTTACTCCCTGAACCGCCCCTGGGGCCTCCATCCTCGCGGACACATCCTCTGCACACAGCCGCTCTCTCTGGGCTCTCTGGTTCCCCTTGTCTCCCCCTCGCCCCCTACCATCTCCTCTGCACTCAGGCACTGGAG